CTTTGTGGTCCCCCTGACCGTTGTTTTTGTTGTTGGTTGGTTGGAGCATGTCGTCGTCTTCTTCGGATAAGTCGTCTTGTACAGTGTGGCGTTGAGTTTCTCATAGCGTCGCTTGGTCTGATGGCGCGGCTCGCAGCAGGCGAAGGCGTCGACTGACAAGGCCTCTTTCTGCCGCGGCCTGGATGACCGACGGCCGCGCCTCTGAGAACGCGGCCACTCATTGGTTGGTTTCGCTTGCGGGGCGGCTGGAAAAACGCAGAATCGTGCAATGTTTCGCATCGAATATCGAAAAAGATATCGTAGGCAATGGACCTACACAAGCGCTAGCATTGCTAGCATAATCTCAAATACGGTGCTCGAGTAGCGAGCTGGCCACTCGGATAGGTCAAAACGACATTGACCTCACATCGCCAACACAGGCATCTCAGCTTTAGCTCAAGGTACTTTTGACGGAGCCTCAAAAAGTTTCACGAAAACTAAAGACGACTCCACTAATAATAAACTCTCCCAGCCTAACGGAAATTAGGCTCACCATAGTATTTTAGGATATCTCTGTGTTGCAGGCATGGCCGTCCTTGACTGTAAATAACGAACTATAAGCGGCGGTCTGTTTTCGCCTTGAAGCCTTGAATTTGTCCACTGGTCATCACATGGGCATTCAAAACGATCGGAAATTGATGGTTACCATTTTCAAATCGATCAGGATAAAACGAACGGCAATTTTATGCAAAATTTTATGTACAATAACGACCGTTTGGAAATCTCGAAGGGGTAGGGTATTAGGGTATCTAAGGGTTTTTTATCGAGATGCTGTTCGCGCTCAGACAAAATAGCCGCCCCGATCGTTTGTACGCGCATTATCTCGTCGAGGCCGATGATTCCCGCAACTGCCTCGTCGGCCTGGGACTCGTCGCGCGGTGAGAGCGTGATGGGCATATTCGCTGGCATCAAAGTCTTGCCCTTGCTCTGGGTTAAAGGGTCTTACCAGGGTCGCACGCCGGTCTGGTTGACTTCGGAAGCTCAGGGAGTGGGGCCCAAACGTCAGCTGGCTGCAGTCGTTAGGGACGGCCTTGCTCGGTGGGGTGCATGCTTTGTCTATCAAGCCATGCACAGGACTCTGGTTGGGAACGCAGTAGTTGCCCAATGGGACGCGCTGTGATCTGCAGCGGTCGATCAATCGGCTACCCGGGGCTGCATCGGCGTCTTTGCGTACACAACTTGGGAGGCGCGGCGGGGCCTGGCGCTTGTTGGGTACAGGTTTGAGGACGAGGAGCTCGGCGTACGTCTCGTACGGGCAACGCATCGGATAAATCAAGCTGACATTCGTGCCACGCGGCACAGCTTCTCCAGCTGCCACTGTTTGTGGCCCTCTTTGTCCTTGGCCTGTGTGAAGTGGTCTCGCCATCGTCGGACCTGTAAGAAATTTAAACAACGCAGTGTCACACTGTCGGAGATGTCTGTAGGAGAACACACATATGAAAGTGTTATTACTCCTTGTGTAGGTTAGACCATACTAGTACGCAATCTGTGCATAGTGTGTTGTTCAGTTGGTCTAGATCAATAGTCGCTGTACGATTTCCAATAGTACTTCGTAAGAAGCGCAAGCCATGTTCCAGTATGGACTATGCCGCGCGGCGATGCCCATATCTACTACCAGATCAACTACATAGTCATCCTGTACAGATAAATACTGGCTTTCCCCACATGGTGTCGACACGACGTCGACAATGGAGGCTGCACACCGATGGACTGCGGTCTGTGGGGTCCGGCTACGGGAATGCGATTTGTATCGATCGGTGACCAGAAGAAGGCTTGTGTCTTCTGTTGAAGAGGTTCGTGCCTATCGATTGGCTTGTGCTCAAGATGGCTTGTGCCAAGATGGAGCTTGACGTTGGTCAAATCTGCATTGAAAGTGGTGTGCGTGACCGTTGGTCGCGTACAGTGATGGAGCACAGGGTGTGAACCCAGCCCACGTCGACACCACTAGGCGGGCGGACAAGGCAATGTATGCTTGCACATTTGGCGGTACGGGAGAAGCCCGTTGATGTGAGATTGCACAGCGTTTGGCAGCAGTCAGTAGAGCAGTCAGTAGACGTAGTTTAGCTGTCACTTTCCGTTGTGCTCTGTAGTACACTAGCCGATGTTTAATGAGTACGGCCTCCCTCTGCCTGGTGTTTCACGTTCTAGTTGTTGCCTAGAGCGGAATCGGTCACAGGAGGACGTCATCAAGGTGCGCACTGCACGAATCGCATGCTGCTCAATCAACAACCATCTCGAGATCGACGTTCCCGGTCACAAGCTGCAAGCTTTCACCTACGTATGCGAGTACCGCAAGGCCCGCCGCATGCCGTCCAAGTTGAATAAGCTTGACTCTCGCTGCTCAACGGCAAGAATGGCGTCGAGCACGAGTGCCCATCGGATCTTTCCAGCCTCCTAGAAGCAGTAGCAACAACGCCTCGGAGTGTACCATCCCCGATGGCTTTCAACGAGGTCTGCGTTCGCGATAAAAGGGGCTTAGTACCACTTGTTTGGCCGTCTAAATCTCACGAATGCAGAACAAAACCGTGCCTGTGCTCAAATTTGCATCCTTGCTACCGGAACACTGCTTGCTACACAGCAGATCCATTTCAAGAGCGGGTGGTGCTCACACTCGGGACGCGAGTGCCGCAACCTGATGATCCCACTAGCTACCCGGACACTTTTGTTGCTTCAAAGCCTGCTGCATACGCACAATGAGTGTGACCATCGGGCCACAGGGCTCATCCACTGCGGCTTACCCATGGGCTTACCCTAGTGGAGTATAAATTTACACAGGACGTTTACGATATCGCCTCTAAGACTCGATACACCATCAGCACCAGCGACACCGCATCTGCCAACCTTCGCATCCGGACGACAAGCATCCAAAATGTTGGCGCTGCTCCTGCTGCCGCTGGGGCTCGTGGTCTTGTTGACCGTACTTGGCATCGTCTTTGAGGAGAAGAAGCTCTTCGCTGCGCGGTCGCTGGCGAAGATTGCGCTTTTCGGACTTCTCTGGGTGCTCTGTAGCATCCTCAATTTCGCGCTTGTGCTGCCGCTGAAGGTTCTCCTTGCGCCGCAAGAGCTTCAGGTCGTCGCCCACGAGACGTGTCAAGTGCTTGCGCGCGCGCTTCACGTAGCGTTCTTCGGGCCCGTGACGATTGAAGGCGAGGCGCACTTGCAAAGCCTCGGCCCTCACGAAGCGTGCGACGTCGATTCATGATCGTGGCACTTGCTCACGTGTATTTTCTTCGCGTAGGGTCCTCTTTGTCGCCAACCACCAGGTTTGCACTTTCCTAGCGCAGGACACTGTGACGGACAACGTTCGTAGACCATGATGGATGTGACGACGCTCTATTTTCTGCCTATGCGCTTTGCGTGGGTGGCCAAGAGCGTCATCTTCTTGGTACAGCACGGCTCGCGGCACTGTCGTCGTGAAACAAAGTGTCGTAGATGCCTGGGCCTGGCTGGATGATGAAGCTCGCCAACTACGTGCCGCTCAAGCGCAAGAACAAGGACAGTATCAAGCAGATGTTCGCTGCTTGCCATGAGCGCCTCGCGGCTCAGTGGAGCGTAATCGTCTTCCCCCAGGTACGTACTTGCACACGATGGTATGGTGCAGCACGAGTAGTGTTGTTAGGGCACGCGCAACCGAACAACGTTTCTGCCGTTCAAAGACGGCGCGTTCGAGATTGCGACGACATCCAAGGTTCGCGTTGTCCCTCTTACGATTGTGATTCCGGACGATCTTTGGACGTGGAATCGCCGCGGCGCTTGCAAACTCATCGTTCATGCGCCCCTCGAAACTTCCACTTTGACCAAGGCTGAGATCAAGGACGCTGCGTTCGCAGCCGTTGCATCCGGCGTGCCCAAACTCAAGTAGTCTCTGTCATAACCACAGCGACAATGACCAAGCAAGATGATCGCATATTCTTGGGCAGCGAGCGACCCTTAGGCGTACGAAACTGAAGCGGAGAACGTCGAGTGCGTAAGGAGCTCCGGGTGGAATTGGCGCCTGCGAAACAAGCACCGTTGATGGTCAAGAATCCAACACAACGCATCGTACCACGCATCGACGATACCCATGTACTCGTCCGAGTTGGTGATGTGCAGTGCGACGGGGTCCTATCACGATAATGAGCTATGTGCAGGCTGGGATACGAAGGTCGCACCTCCGCGAAGCACACAAAGACCGTGGCCACAATGCTGTCAAGGATCGAAGAGACGACAGCGCACATCGCATAGCCAACCGCATTGCAAATCGCAAATGTCGTGAGGAGGACGCTGAACGTGTCTAGGTGCCAAATGCGCATTTCAGTTCAAACATCATCGCTGCCTACCACACTGGCCCTCGTGAGCGTGAGCCTCGGCGTCCGAGCATGCCGTTGTCGCATGAACCAAGCCGACGCCGACAAGACCGGTCGCTAGGCCCACGACAACACAGCCCGTTGAGAGTACACTGGAAACGAGGCTTTCGTTAACGACAGCCGTCCAACCTCTACGACACGTGCGATCAAACTTGGGTGAGGGAAGACAGAGAGTACTTTTCGCGAAACAAAAGCATCGTGTCGAGACCCGCATCATAGAGGCTTTTGCCGTATAGCGCCACTTGCACATAGGCATACTTGTTGAAAATCTTGAGGTTGGACTCGAGCGCGCCGACAAGGCAGTCAAGACACGCGTTCACCGACCCGCGCGACTTGCGTCGTTTGGCTGTAAGAAGCACGAAGCGCAATGCAGCGAGGGCTGCTACGATGAGTGACCCAAAGCAAATCGACCCAAACGATGTCGTGACGCAGCGCCGCAGAGCACGACGAGCCGCGCCTTCTGGGTGCGGCGAGAACCACCATTCCCCTACGCGATCGATGAAACACGTAGAGAGATGAGGTGCGAACATACCAACGGTACCGGCAGCTGTGCAGTGCACAACGTTGCGCAAGACTTGAAGTCCCCAAAAGAGACTACGTATGTTGGGCTTCACAAGGTGTCACGTCATTTACATCACGAGTATCACCTCAATAGCATGAGGAAAACACAAAAGTGGGTCGTTGTCGACGATGGAAGTGACTCCATCGCCCCGCCATCCTTGTACGCAATGACCCAAACGCCGACAAGTGCAACAGTCCACAACGACGTCCACACGACTTGAGCGGCTATTGCGGCATACGCTGTCAGCGCAATCTAGATGCATCGATAAAGATACAGTCGACTTTCATGTTGAGCACCTGCGGGAAACGCTGCATGATCTTGCTTGCGACAGCGAGATTTGCCGCAGCAAATGGGATACGATGGCGCACTGAGATGTAGTACAAGCCGAGGGCGACCGCCAAAAAGAGGTTTCCAAGGCCAATCGCTTGACCGGCAAGTCCGGCTTCCATAAATCCGGCGACGGCACCCACGAGAAGCGCGGCGACCGTTGCTTGAAGAGTCACGGAGATAATGCGAACAGCGTACAGATGTAGTGCCTGCAACCATAGGGCGGACAGCACGGCACCGACAGCACCCATGAGCCCCGCCACGACTAGCAAGCTCATGCCCTGCGAGCGCTTCTCGTCCCCCGACTTGTGCTGCGTAAAGTCGAACGTTCCAATGTTCGGTGCACCCCAGACGACCTATTGGCACGCGTGGCATGAGGATCAGCCGTCATGTTGAATGGCATGCGATCTTACGGCCAAATAGACGACGACGGCGACGTTGCCGAGAAAGAGCCCCGCGGGAACCTTGTCCTTGAACGCGAAGTCCACGTAGGAGTCGCCGGGAAGCGCCACGTCATCGACGTCCGGCTCGGCGAACCCCTTGTCCGAGAGAGCTTTGTAGGCGTCGCGCATGGGAGCGGCAAAACGGCAATGCGGCGCATGTGGATTGCGCATCATGTTTCACAGGTCGAAGAACATGGAGCTCCCCTTAGATAAGCGTCGAGTACGTTGGTATGAAGGAACCACTCGATCTCTGGGCAAGCATCGCTTGTCTGGTTTTTGGCAATATCCATTTTTACAAGCGAAAAACCTTTGTTTCAAAGGATTAGACCCAGCTGGTGCGGCATATATGGAAACGGAGGTTTCTTAAATTTGGCATTGATGCCACGTCCTACTGACCGATCTTCGTCATCACGGGGACATGAGCAACGACGACGTGTGGGGGCTCGTACAAGGGCGATACGACGCTGCAGCCCTCGAGAGGCTCCTCGCTGGCAAGTCCATCGCGTCCATGGAGATGGACGGATGGACCCCGTTGCATTATGCCTGCGACAACCGCTCGGTCACAAGCCTGCAGCCTCTTCTGGCAGCCGGAGCCAGCGTCCACGCCGTCGACGAGACCGGTTACACGCCCCTGCACTTGCTTTGCAAGAACAGCGAGATCAACGCGAAGGCACTCGGCGAGCTCATCCAAGCTGGCGCTTTGGTCGATGCCACGTCCACGGTGCCCCTCAGGCCATTGCATCGAGGTGGCTCACGGCGATTAATGACATAGGACAACAAGAAGTCGACGCCATTGCACTTGCTATGTATGAACGAGAACGTCAGCGTAGCACTTTTGCAGGTGGTTATTTCGGCACCGGGTGCCACCTTCGTGAACGCGACGGACGGCGACGGCAACACGGCGCTGCACTATCTGGCGTCGAACCATGCGCTGCAAGACGACATGTTCTTACTTGCGCTGCGATCGGTGCCACGTGTTGGCGGTGTAATGACCCAGAACCACGTACGTGCTGCTCAAAATTCACCACATAAATGATGTTGTTTCTTGCCACTAGTTCAAGGCAACTGCGCTCCATTACCTCTGCCAGAATGCTAAAGTCTCGCCAGCAATGCTACATGCAATGCTCCATCGACCAGGTGTCAACCCAAACACGCAAGACAACGTACAAAACTATGGCATGTCAATCATTCTAACCGATGCATTTAGATTGGCAACTCGCCCCTCCACGTGCTGTGCGAAAACAGTCGTGTGACTGTGGCCCTGCTGCGCGAGTTCATGGCCACGGACGTACCGGTGACTAATACGACGCTGGCCAACACTGTACATAGTTCCATGCCAACCAACGTCGACTCATGACATCGACTTTGTAGGCTGGGAAGAGACCGTTTGATGCGTTGGCTGCCGAAGATTGCATCGCGTACGGACAAACGTTTGCGCCACAGCACGAAGCAATCCCGTCTGCATCGTCGACGTCGGGTGGCGAAGATACGTCCGAGCTGCAAGGTCCGCTCCTCGCCAAGGTGACGGCGTGGAATGCGACCTTGCCGCCCTTTGACGACGCATTTTACGTCGCTGTCTCGTGCGAGCCTGCATTTGAGGCCACATACGAGCAAGTGCAAGAGCTTTCCGTGGCGTTGCAAAGCGCGATGACGACGCTCACGGCGTGGGAAGCCAAGATGGCCGAGTGGCGGCAATGCGTCGTTCTTGCCTTCGTTGCGCTGGTGCATCCGTCCATGTGGGCGACGTACGCAGAGTCTTTCCGTCGCCCTCTGCCTCTGGATGTCGTCAAGCTTCGGCCGGCCGTCGAGGCCATCTGGCAACGGGCACCCACGGACCGTCGCGAGCGCTTTGGCGCGATTCGCGAGCTTCTCCGCTGAAAATCTTTCCATGCTTTAAAAACCGATAATGCATGATATCGAGTTTCAAAGGACATCACAACCTTGCCATGGCGTTGGCGGAGGAAGGTAGATGCTGCTGCTACGACCATGACTATGCTGCTGGACCGCGGATCCTCATGCTTCGTTGCCTCTACCACGTAGTGCGTTCCGCTTCGTCGGGTGCAGTCGATTCAGCCGCAACTGCAGCGGCCAAAGAGCTTCGGCACCTCCAGCACTGGCGCCAAGCGCGCACCTTCGCGGTCAACATCGTCGATGGCGAGAACGTCTCGAAGGAGTGGGTACGCGCTTCATGACTTCATGAGGACTCTTGACGCCATGATGATGCTCGTAGTTTCAGGAGACGGGATTCACGCAGCCGCTAGTCGTGCTCTCGCGAAAGAGCATCGGCATCACCGGTACGGTGGCGTCGTGGTGTCGTCGTTCCAGTATATGCCGCCTAGGACCACCCGAGCCGTACGCTATCACCAGTATCGGCGCTCTCGTAGACCACGAATTCGTTCTCGTCATCGACGTACACGCCGCTATGACATCCTTGTCATGTTCTCATGACGTTTGTAGCCCGTTGCCCGTGCCACAGTACCCGCATGGACGCTTGCGCAATGGAACGACTACGTGGCAACACCTCCATCGCAGCGCAGGTCGTCTTTGCGCCTCGAAGCAGTCTCGACAGCGCTGACTCCGCCGACGATCGTCACCAACATTGGGTGGATCGAGCGGTTTCCGTCTCTACCGGCAACACCCCGCCACGTCAAGGTCTGTGCCAAGGGCAGCTTCGAGGGCTTTCGCAACGGCAGCAGCGGTGCGTCGACTTGGATCACGGTCCTCACCGGCAAGCTCGTGCGTGCGATAGTATCGCATTTATCTCGACGCGTGATTTTTGTGCTAGAACATTCATTTGATTCCGCCTACACCCGAGAACCTCCGCGCGTACCAAACATCCCGCGTTGAAAATGACCACGGTCCATTCGATACCCTTGTCGAGGCGAGCGCGTTTACGCTTCTGGAAGTCGGTGCAACGATCTTCATTCCGTCCGGCTGGCTGTATGCCACGTTTGCCGTCGAGGTACTTGTGGACTACAATCAGCTTCAACTTAAAGTGCTCGCAGGACGTACTGCTCTACGAAGGAACATTCTTGCACGACTTGGACCTCGCGACGCAGTGGCATTGCTACCACTTGGATCGAGTGGCTGTTCCATCGATGGTTTTTCCATCGCTGTCGCCGCTCTTGTGGCACCTCGCCTGTGACTACCTTCGCTCTGCTTCGGCAGACGAGAAGGCGATATCCTTCCTCCTCCCAGCGCTTGGCGATGACATTCACGCCGACGCAGCGGCGCACGTGTTGCCAACTTGGGACCAGCCATCGGCCGCGTCGGTGCTTGCGCAGCTCCGAGCGCGAACCAATACGCCCGACACGAGTGCGACAAGCAGTAGCAGTGGAGACGATGACGACGGGAGCAGTAGCAGCAGCAGTGCAAGCGATGATAGCGACTCGAGCCTTGTACGTCACCATCGATCTCTTGGCGTCAGCTGATTTCGATCAGGACTCGTCTGTCTCCGAAGTCGAAGCAGCGTACCCTAAGTTTCGGCGCGACCGTGTCTCGGCGCCTTTGCCCAAGCTTCAGCATCACCTTATCGTCAAAATCCCCACCGACGCCTTTCCGCTGAAGGCGTCGATGGTGCCGAAGGCTCATTCCATCACAACGCCCGGCAAGAAGTCCAAGAAAGCCAAGGCCAAGGTGCCGACAGCTCTCAGCGCGGTATGCCTCTTTCTTTCAGAATCTCGGCAATTTGGTTGGACTCGTGGCTTTTAGGAGGACTGGTACTTTGAGTGCAATTGTGGCCAGAAGGGCCAAAACTACGACGATGGTAAACGCATGGTGCAGTGCGAGTCGTGCCCGACATGGCAGCACACGCACTGTGCCAACATCCCTGACGACCAGGAGCCACCACCAGGCTACACTTGCTTTAAATGCAACGCCACCGCGGTACCTGGCGACTGGGTAGTGCACTGCAGCTGCGGCATCCGTGCCAAAAACTACGACGACGGGTGCCGCATGGTGGCCTGTGACCGCTGCAACACGTGGCAACATACGTTGTGCGCCGGCATCCCAAATGACCAAGAGCCTCCTGAAGACTATGTCTGTCTTCCTTGCCTCCAGAAGGTGCACATTCGTCTTGTCCTCGCGCACACGACTGATCATGTAACAGAAACGTCCGCAGAAAGCCGTCAAGTCACCGAAAACAGCGCCCGTCCTACCGAAATCGGAGCGCCCGCTTGACGATGATGAAGCCGCCGAGGAAATTACTTATGAAGACGAGCACGACGAGGATGACCACGAAGATAACGACGAGGATGAAGATGATGACGAACCGGTACCGCCAAGAAAAAAGCTCGCGGGGCCATGCTGCCGGCCGCTAAACGACCAAAAGCCCCTATCGACGTCCGTCCCGAAATCCCAAGCAGCACGAAATCAAGCAAGCCAACTGCAAAACCCACGACCAAAAAGCAACCTACCTCGGTGCGAGAACGACTTCAGAAGAAACTCAAGATGAAGCCGACGTGGGGCCGGATGTAAATGGGACACCTCACGAGGTTGTATGTCTTTTGAATGCACTTTTCACATTTCCATGATTCTACTTCCTCGGTGTCAAAAAATGCAGTGTGGTTGGCGTTCGTACCCGCATGATTATCAACTACGCAAGTAGACATGGACCCCCTTTAACAACTACGCTAGGAAACGAAATGATTCGCATATAAGCAAGAAACATGTATTCAGCCCTCGATACTGTATTATACCTATTGAGGACTACACACCGGTCGATATGTTGCGCACGAGATCCTGCGCCGTGTTGACGAGGTTCACGGGCGACTTTCCATCTGTGATGAGGTAGCCCTGTAGCCCGAGCGATGCCAGCAACTTCACTTGCGTCTCGGGCCCGACGCGCGCCATTTCCACGATCGTCTGCTGTCCGATGGCGTCGATCATGCTCTTGAACTTTTCGGACTCGATCGCTAGAAGCTCGCGCTTCTTTTGGATTTCGAGCTCAGCGAGTTGTTTGGTGTGCTCGATCTGCAGCGTGTGCTCGGCTTGAAGCCGGCGCATTTGGCTCTCGTGCTCAATCTGCAGCGCCTTGACACGCAACTCCGCTTGCGTGACAGCCGCCTGTGCATCGATCTCGGCAGCCTGCGCCTTGGCCTTTGCGGAGGCAACGGCGGCACCTTCAGCCTCGACCGCTGCGCACTGCGCTGAAAGCTCGACGAGCCGCTTCCGGGCCTTCTCCGCCTCGGTCTGGTTTTCGAGCTGCTGCGTAATGAGAAGGCCTTTCGCTTCCTCGTCCTCCTTCATTGCGATGGCCTTGGCCTTGGCCTCCTGCGACTTGGTCGTGATCTCGATCGCGAGCTGCACGGACTTTTGTAGACTGTCGCGCGTCTGCGCGTCGACGGGCTCGGCCGACTGAATGTCGACGTTCGTGATCACGAGGTTGTTGGTCACGAAGATGAGCTGCGTCTTGGCCTCGCCTGTCGACTCGTCAAGTCCAAAGATCGCTGTCCGAATGATACTCGCTATACGTTTCAATCAGACATGCATGAAGGTAGCATGGAGGTCGCACCACTGTGCTTGTGGAAATGGTCGAACGTTTCGACCGCGACAGCACCGCGGATGCGCGACGCAAGGGTCTTGCATGCGTCGCCCGTAAAGTCTCGCACTGAGAAAATCTTGGCCGCGTTCTCCGTCGGGACTTGAAAGTGCCAGTTGTACGCGATGGTGAGTCGAAGCCGCGCATGGTCAGAGGTTTCAACCGTGATCTAGTCGGCATGCATAACCGATTGCTTTTGGGCGGTAAGTATACCTGATCGCGCATAAAATCAGGTCCGAGTTGGAGGCAGAGCGTGCAGATGACTTTGGCGCGCTTTGGTACGTCCCCCGAGAGCTTCATGACCGTGAACTGCTCTTCAGGGCTCAACATCACGAGCGTCGGTCCAAACATGATACGGGACCGAGTCGACGAGTAGTCGTAAATCTGGATCGCAGCGTTGTGCGGCACTTCAAACGTCACGACGCGCGTGGGATCGCGCGCCTTCTGGCCGCGCCCGGCCACGGCGCTGCCTTCGACGTACGAGTCTTGTTGAAGGAGCTCAATGACCTCATCTGGGAGAGGCTTGGCCCAGAGCTCCTCGGTTGGCTGCAGCATGTACGTTTGGCCCGTCTCGGCACGGACTTTGCCAGTCTTGGTGTCGCGCACGTAGATGCCTTCGTTTTTGTCCAGCGGAATCGCTTTCCGCGTCTCGAGAACGTTGACTTGGATACGCGGCACGTACTCGCACGGACCGTACACCATCCACTTGCTGCCAGCATGGTGCTGCACGTCGCCGTCATCGACAAAAGATTCGTTTGCTTGGAGCAAGACTGCCTCGTCATCACCAAGGATGCATACGTCCTGAATGATACCGTGCTCGAGGATCTCACCAGGCTGTAGAAAGAAGCTCGTCTCACCGCGACGAATCTCGCGTGTGCCCAGCTGCTGCACACCGTTGACAATCGGGTCCAAAACGACGACGTATTGCCGGTTCGAGAGCGTTGTGATTGGCACGTGCGACACAACCTCTTCGTGCACATCCTGGACGTGCGTCTCAGCCATCTTGCTCGTGACGAGCCACTCCTCGCCGGCCTTGCGCTGGACCTTGTAGATGTCCGTGAAGGTTTGAAGCGCTCGAAGGTGCAAAGACGTCTTTTCGGTGAGGATCGTTGCGTTGAGAACGTCGAGCACAAGCTCGTCGACGCGCGGCATGTAGGTGCCGGGCTGCCGCACGAGCCACTCTTCGCCTGCATCGCGCGTCGCGCCAAGCCAATCGGTGCACTTCTTGGCTGCGCGAAGCTTGAGCGCTTGGTTCTTTTGAATGACGGACGCCTTCATGGAGCCAACGACATCTTCTTCGACGCGTGGAATGTACGTCGCAGGCCCAAGGAACAGCCATTCGTCCCCGGCTGCATGACCACCAAAGTCTCGGTTCGCACGGACGCGCAGCGCCGAGTTGATGTCGAGGACCGTAAGCTTTTGCACAGCACCGACGAGAACTTCACCTGCGTAGAGAGGAAACGGGTCCGGGTATTGTGCCGCGACACGGATCTCGCGCTCGCCATGGCTAAGCTTCGCCTGACCGTACGCATCGACGACGACCGTGCCTAGATACATTGAGATAGACGCTCTGTCGTCGAACGAGTACCTTCATCGGACCGCACGACTGGGTTCTCGATCACAACGTACGACTGCGGCGGCACGATGACCATGAGGCTCGGGCCGCTCACGATCTTCTCGTGGTCCTGACGCGTGTACGTCTGCGGGCCCGAGAGCACGCGCGTAACGTTGCAGTTGGTGTCGAGCACGTGCAGGTACTGGTATGGCGGCAGGCGAATCACGCGCGCTCCTTCGTACTCCATCGTAGTTTGTGGCAAAATGCAAACTGGGGGAATCTTTGCGATCTTTGGTGTTGAGAAGACAGCCAATCACTGTCGATCCCTTGATTTTATTGAAACAGCATACAAAAACCGATATGTAATTGTTTTAACGAAGGTTGCGCACCTGTCGCCATTGCGACATGGCTTGATCGTCTGCCGAACGAACGTCCTTCGACACAAAGGCCTCTCGCATGGAACCCCACAGACATGACTTCTGGCGGATTTCGAGGCGCACGTTGAAGTTGCACTCGCAGGACAAGATTCTTTCGACGGATCGGGATCGGTGCAACGTCGCAGCCGCCCACTTGCTCGCACGTGCTTCAGCAACACGAACCGCTAAAACAACACCTGTGTCGAACACAGCCAATACAACACGCGCATAATCGCATCGAGATGGGCTTGTTGTCTTGGTCTGACTCAAGCACTCGCAACGAACGGCGTACAATTTTTTGTGCGTCTCCCGCCAAGTCGATGCCTCCTCTTGGCCGAAAACCCTACCCCGCGTCTATTTCGGCACTCTCCCGCGCTCTGCGCACTCTTCAACACAGATACCTGCAGCATCAGGGGGCGTTTGTCGGCGAGAAGGCAGTCATCGGCAGCCTTAATCTAATACAAGCACAATAGTACAGCACGCTCGCTACATACTTCCAAGGTCCATCACGAACGCGAGATAAAAAGCCAGTCCTTGTTTAAATACTATTTCATGTTTCAGAACAAATGGTGTGCGATGTCTCAAATAGTGTGGTCACCACTGAAAGCGGTCAGTTGGAAACCACACGACAGCTACCCATGGGCGACAACGCGGGTGTCGCGGCCGCCTTGGCCCAGTACGACGAGACGCTCAACAAGCTGGGCGCATACCCGGCCAAGCCGATCATCAACAACCTCACGATGATTGCGGAGAACCTGGCGATGGCCAAGCCGCTGGCGACCTTCTTGGTCTCGAAGCTGCACGGTGTCGTGCCCGCCTTCAAGCTCCCGATCTTGTACCTCATGGACTCGATCTTGAAAAACGTTGGCGGGCCGTACGTGCAGCTTCTCGGCGGCAGCCTTCCCCCTGTCTTCGTAGAGTGCGTTAGAGTTGTGAATCCAACCGACTTGAAGCGATTTTGTTCATGTGTTGAATACATGGGAGAAAGTCCGCCTCTTCCCGGAGAACGACCTCGCCCGGATGCGCGCCGCCGCCGACGCTGCAACTCGCGTCGCTCAGCCCACGAACCAACCCACAAGCTTTGCGGCACGCCCAGCACCGGCAGCTCGGCCAGCGGCAACGCGCCCCGCCGCCGACGACATGCAACTCCGCCTCCTCTTGACGAACCTCCAGAACGAAGAAGGTATCCACCCCGCCCAGCACATGAGCCTCGAAGATGTGCGTATGTCGAACCCCGCGTATTATGCGCAGCTCCTCGACTTCCACAAGAGCATGCAACACCAAGGCCCACTCCAGCAAGTCACGCTTACCCGGCCGCGGTCGCCGCCTCGTCAACTACCGCAGCCCCAACGCCACGCTCCGATGCAACCCGAACTGATGCGGCCGCGCTCCCCTCGCATGCGCCCGATGGCAGAACCGCGTGACCCTCGTGATCCTCGCGACCCGCGGTATGGCAACAACCCCCGTACGAAGCAACCGCCGCCCCGCAACGTGCTCGCGTACCAACAGCGCCCTTCAGCGCCGCATCAGCCGTCGCAGCAACAGCAGCCATTGCTCCGACGACCTGTACCTGCTCCGTCCCGGTCGCCACCACTTGGACAGCAGCCACCGCAACAAAAGACGACTGCCGAGGTCATGATGATCTTGCAAAAGCTCCAAGGTATCACAGCGCCAGGCTCGCTCGCACCGGCCACGTCAGGTCTCAAGTTCTCCGACATCCAAGTCAACAAGCGCCGCATCGACGCGAACATCTACCTTCTTTATGAGGGTCTCCCGTTCGTCTGTGCTGGCAGCGGTGTCCGCTTCGCCAACGAGAAGCAGGTACAATTTCAATGCGCTCGTCGTCTAGCGTTCTTATTGCTGTGAATAGCTCTCCGAGCACATGGACTTTTTGTTCCAATACAACCGCGCTCAGCGCGAGCGCACGAAGGGCGGGAACTCGCGTCCATGGTACCCCGACGAAGAGGTACTTCTTGGTTGCAACTCGGCCACGTGATGATGTCATCGACTTACGATACGTGCATAGCAATGGGCCACCGATTTTTGCGCGGTCTCCAGCACAAAGGAAGTCGATGGCGTTGCCGCCATTGCGCAACAAGAAGCCGGTATGATACGAGGTTTCATTTCCATCCATACCTTCTGCTGCTAGAGGTCGACAAGGATGTGCTGGACCAAGCCCGCGTGCCTGTGGACGAAGCGACCACCAAGTGCCGCATCTGCGGGTGCGTTCCAACCTGCGCATCGTTCGCACTCAAAGTTGCGTGTAGCGAGCAATTCTCGAAGTGCTGGGACGATGACGAGGAAGAGTGGATGTACCAGAATGCGGTGCGCGGCACAATCCAGACGTCACCGCCGAAGGAAACTATCTTCCACAAGTACTGCTACGACAGCGTCGTCGCGTCGTCAAAGCTCAAGGTCATCTTGCCGTCGCAGCTCGCGCCGGGAAGCCCGCTCGTGACAAAGCGCGGCCTTGATGAGGTACAGATGCCCTATGTTTACAAGCGAATATTGATATGTCCCAAGGCTAACGACGAAAGCACGATGAAGCGTCTCCGCACGGCCGACGACGTCTAGGCCTACTGCTATGTGTCTCGAACTATCTAACACGATTCTGCCCATCCATTAGTCCAGAGCCTTGCTTGCAACCTAACCCCCGAAATAAAGATGCACATTGTATGTTGATTAGGGTTACGAGCACTACTGTGTCGCCGGCTTGGGTTTGTAATACTCAGTGCAAACGGGGTCGGGGGAAATGTGCGAAAGCACTTGGCGGCAGAGGTACGAGCGCGGAAACACTTCGGGCAGAACGCTCTCGAGCTCGTCCGACCTCGGGTTTGTGACGTCCACGTCGCTCGCCTGAATCGTCAAACATGCTTCGAGCTCGCCTACGGTCTTTGAGAGCAGCTTTTATCTTGCTGCCTTTACCCGAGGAAGCGCGGAAGATCATTAGCGCCGTCTGCAGCCACGACGGCACTGCAGCACCAACGCTACCATAAAGTGAGTGAGCTGCTCGCTCCAAGGCCGCAAGACCGCCGGCCCGTTCGACGGCAAGAGCTTTGCCGCACGACAGACGCTTGTGCTTGAACTCGGGTGTCGGTACCAACGCTGCGATTGCCATTGCACTCGCCTCTAGAAGCGCCGGCATCGACGCTCGCAGACACAGCGGCACGAGCACCGAGGGGCCGTCGACGTCATCAAACGTCCTCGCGTTGGCGTCGGTAAGCACTAGCGTCGCTACCGCCAAGCACGTCGCGGTCAGGACAGCGTCATCAGCGCCAAACCGCCGTGGCTCGCCGAGCACATAAACACACACGTGCAGTCCGTTCTGGGCCGCGAGCCGCACCTTATTGACCTTGCACTGGTAACACAAGGCAGCAACGACGAGCGCTACCGAGCAGTTCATCATGTCGAATGCACAGTCCAAAGGCAGACAAAATACCACACGCTTCAAGGACGGGCGGGTGCTTGGCATCGACAAGCAGCTGCAAACAGGACGTGCTCACGTCGCAGTAGCCAAGCGCGATCTGCGCCGACGACGTAGACGCCAGGTTTGCGACACCCAAGGCTGCACTACGCTGAAGCTGTCGGACAAGGTCGGTGCTGTTGTCGAGGTTGGTGCTGTCGCGCAGCCGAGATACGAGCTCGGCGTCGCCTTGCGCCATTAGCACGGTCGTTTGGTTCGAGACACCCGAGAAGCTGACTTTGCACAGTACATTGGCTGCTTCGACCTGGACGGCGAGGTCCGCAGATTCTCCGAGGAGGCGAGACACTATGGGCACGACATTGGCGTTCACGACCTGAGTCCGCAGCACGTCCGCGCCTACGCGACACACGTAGACCGTGGAGCCATGCCAAACTCAGAGGCGCACTGTGGGTGAGGTTGACAAGCGCTGCGAGGGAGGCCACGAGCACGGACGACGACGCCTCGTGCACAAGGAGAAGGCGTCCGAGCGCTTTGACGGCCGGCTTGGTTGCCAGTGGGGTCTTGTTCGGAGCTGCCGAAGCCAACGCCGCGAGGAGTCGCGCGGCTTCAGTTAGCACTGCGGGATTGGAGCTCGTTTCGAGAAGATGCACGAGCGGTGAAAGAGCGTTAGCGAGCACGATCGCATGGCGCAGCTCGTCGTGAGCGATGGCAATATGCGTGAGGGCGACGAGTACAGGGCCGACGACCATATCGCTCTCGGTTTCCCGAAGGATGTTGGCGAGGAACGCGAGGGACCCGGCGCGGACGACGTTGTGCGCTTCAAACGCTGGGAGCAATGCGATCGTTTGTCCAAAGCGGCTAAAGACGACGTCGGCGCCAGACGCGGTTGCCCGCGACGCGAGCATGTGCTCGCCAAATCTACGACAACATTGAAGATCAACCCAGTGGCAACTTCCGATCACCGGTGGTGCCACGCGTCCTCGGCGCGCTGGGCGATCTTGTGCTTTTGGACTTCTGCTTGCATGGCCTCGAGCCGATCTTTCCACGCATCGCGCTCGGCCAAGACGGCGACATGCTCGTGCTCGACATGGTCGAGGTGCGTCGCTTGCAGTCGCTGAAGTAGCTCGCCTTCACGAAGGTCTGCTCTAAAGGATCGCATCATCGGCGAAAGTTGCTATGAAGGCACGAGGTACTCGTGGAGGCGTGTCTCGAGCTGGACAATCTCCTTTCGGCAGCGCGCTTCGATGACGTCGCGGTCAGCTTGTAGCGCAAGAAGCTCCTTGGAGAGCGCAACCTCTTGGGGCGTCGGGACGTCCGAGTACGCCTGCGAACATGAGACGATGCGTGAAATGATTGGATCGACGTACGACACGGTGGACGTCGACGACGACGATCGGCGGCGTCCGCGCCTCGATGCTCGGCCTCGCGATGCTCATTGTGCACTGTCGAAGCAACGCTCAGTGGGAACCGCAAAAACGTTTCGGTACATTATGCGACAAGGCTAGATCGTGAAGTCGTCCGACGCCGTTGGCGCCGCAGGAGGCGAGAACGACGCCCAGTTGGCCGCGGTTGTCGCCGAAGTGAAGTCGGCAAAGTCAGCAAAGATGTCGTCTGACGGGTGCGCTGGAAGACTCGAAAACGCCGTGTCCGGTACCGTTGTTTCCGAATGGGCTGGCACTGTCGCAAAAGCAGCAAACGACGGAGCGGGTGCAAACTGGAAGTCACCAAAAATGTCGTCGGTCGTTGACACCGGTGCCGTTGTCGTCCCCGACACGGCCGACGGCGCTGCGATTGGCGGAGCAAAGTCGGCAAACCCACTGTCGGGCACACAAAAGCAGCCGCAGTCGTCGTCAGCCACGACCATCGGCTCCGACTGCATTGGGGCGCTGGGTGACGCGACGAATACAAACGATCCGTCTCGGTCCGAGACGGCTTCTGGAGCCTGCACAGCATCCGTGATGTTCGTCTCCGTGGCTGTGTTGGCGGCCACTAGCGGACGTTCAAAGTCAACATCAAACGACGACGTCGACAGCGCCGGTGCTGCCACCGATGGTGCATCTTGGGCGTTGGCCAACTTCTCAAACTCGAAGGAGGTCGTCGAAGCATCACTTGGATCGATGACAGGTGCCGATTCCGTTGCTGGCGGCGTCGCAGGAGCGTCATCAACTGGGCTCATGGCGAACGCATCTTCACTCGAATTTGTGACGGGGCTCGAAAACGCATCAAAACCAAATGAGGCAGAACGCTCAGTAGGTTGTCCAGCAGTCGCTTCGGTTGCATGAATGGAGTTGTCATCGCTGGCAACGACCGGAACGGGTGCACTTGAAGTTGTGCGGTCGCTACCGGCACAGGCATCCGACGGCGACTCGGCAAGGCTGGCTGAAGACGAAGAATGAGCCGCTGAAGCTGGCTGCTCCGTCAGCGCTGTGGGCGTTGCGAAGTCCTTTGCCGTGGGGTTTGCGTCGGTCACCATAATGGATTCGGCGACTGTCGTCGGGATAGCACCGAGCTCGTTGTGCGCAGGCACGGACGCACCGACCGTCGCTGGCGATGTGTTTTCATCTGTTGTCGTCGAAGCGACAGCTGCGATTGACTCGACGATCGGCGTGGTTCCAAAACCAAGGTTGATAGACGGGCTCGGTAGCGGATCGGTTGCAGGTTCGATGGAGTTCGTGCTGACGCTTGCTTCCGAAAGATGGACAGGCATCGAACCGTCTTCCGTCGCAGCCGGCGCCTGCGAGTCATCCTGAACGTTCGCATTGTTGGGCGAGGTGCTCGACGGGAACGCTGCGCTCGTGCCGCTATCGCCGACGCTGACCGGCTCATCGGGTGTCGGAAACGTGTCGTCGACCAATTCTGCTACGGCGTCCGACGAAGCACTGGGCTCCGCGGGAAAGGCGCCAAAGTCATCGGTTGCCGAAGTTGCGGTTGGCGCAAACGTCCCGAACGCATCGTCTGCTGGCGGCGGTGAAGCTTCCGGGGTCGGGGCGGGGGACGCGTCAAAAACCACGGACGACTCATTGAAAGCACCGAAGCCATCGTTTGGTGCTGTTGAAAGCACCGAAGCCATCGTTTGGTGCAGTCTCACTCGACGAAAATGCAAAAGACGTCGACAAAGATGCGTCACCAGCGGATACAGCCCCAAGACTCGAGCCGCCAAACGCAGCAGGTATCTCCAGCTGGTTGGTAAATGCCTCAAAGCTGTCATCATCGACAGGCGGTGCAGCGTCAAACGCCCCGAAGCCGCAGGACGCAAAGTCACCGAAGCCGTCCGTTGCTGGTGTAAACGCGCCAAAGTCACTCGTCACCGGCGCTTCTGATGGTGCATCAAACGCACCGAAGCTTGGGCTAGCAGTCTCGGTGGCTTCGAAGGCGCCGAATCCATCGGCTCCCGTGGACGAGAACGCACCAAAGTTGCCACCCGATGGGGTGTCAATAGCAGCGAATGTACCAACACCCGAGGATGCAACAAAGCCGTCGCCAGCCAAAGTCTCGCCACCAAAGTCTTGAAAGCCATCGGTCGTGGGGGCGTCAACCGCCGTGAAGGCTGCAAAACCGCCAGCGTCCGCCGTCGCAGCAAACGACCCAAACGCTGGCACGTCCGTGGGAGGAAACGCACCGAAATCTTCGAGGCCCGGAGCGGGGACGCCCCCAAACGCACTCTCTGCCGTCGCTTCTGGAGTAGCTGTTGTCGCGCCAAACGACGGGCTATCGAAGCCGAGCATGTTCGTCGCTGGAGCCTTTGGTGTCCGGATAAACTCGTTCTTGTCAATCATCTTTGGCGCCGCCTTCGTGACCTCTGACGCCTCGTCCAACTCGGGCACGGGCTCGTACTGATTGTCCGCAAAGCCCCAGTCCAAGTCGTTCATCGCATCAAACGCGCTGAACGACGACGACGACGCGGACGCAAACGCATCGAGCACGGGCTTCTCGGTGACGGGCGTCGACGCAACGATCGGTGCAGTGAAACTGCCACCAGTGCCGCCCATGAGGTCAAACCCGAACGGATCCCCTGCGCCGGTTGGCGAGAAAAGCGAGGGCTCAGGTACGGTCTGCGTCGGCATGATCGGCGCTGGAGCGGCTTCGAACGCGTCCCAGCCTGCTGTCGGCGCTAAATAGACGCGAATACATGATGAGAACGATCGATCGACATATGCATTAGCCAAAGTTACCTGGAAACGACGGCGGCGCGTCAACGAAACTACTGCTGGATTGCGTGTCGACGTGGAGGTCTGGATGACGGCTACCCTGACGGGACAGTGCCGCCTCTTTTTGCTCCAAGAGACGCGCTGACTGCGTCTTCAAATTGGAGAGCGTCTGCACCAGCGTTGCGAGCGGCACTCCATCCGACGACGATGATTGCAGGTCTTTCTGGACCTCTTGCACGTACGTCAACAAGACGCCTTCGAGCTCACGAAGTGACGACTCGTTGAGCATCATGGCCGTGTCGGGTAAGTGGTACCCCAGCGCTTGCAGTGGTGCCACAATGGACGACACTGACGGCAGCACTACTGCTGGGAGGCTCATGACCGTCTTCTGAAGGGCGGCCTGAATGGAGGCCTGCGACATAAACATTTCGGTATGCGGTGGTGGGGCCAAAAGACGTTCGTACCTGCGCGCTAAGCATGTCGTCGGCGGATGTGCACTGCGCAAGCGAAGATGAGAAAAGCGTCGGAAACCACTCGCGGGGTACGGACGCGGGCAAATGCGTGAGACCACGGCGTGTCTTGCACACAATGACGTGCATTGCGATCGTAAACGCCTGCAGCGGAAGCGGTGTCGAGAGTGTTGGATCCACGAGCTTGTAGATCGCATGGACGTCCTAATAGTGGGCGCTGCATGAGCACATCCATGAGCGAGAGCATGGCGACCGAACCGCAAGGGCGAGACCGGATTTTTGAAAGAGCTCGATCGCGTCCGTCGGTGCGATGGTCCCACTGGGCGCCGACGCACGAAAGATGCTCGCGTACTTCTCTTCATCGCTCGGCGTCATGACAAATATGTCGGCGAGGTGGAACACGGGCAGTGGTAAGTGCCGGGCGCGACCCGCCGCAACGAGGGCGGCGAGGTCCAATGTCTCGCCCTTCTGCGCCAGCGCGATGAGGCCCAAGGCTACGTTAAACTCGTCTCGATCCAGGTACGGTTGCATCTTGGAGCTCGCGAGGCTCCAGACCTATGGTGCATGAAGCGTCGTCGTCGCGTTGCGAGGCGTACCTGCTTGAGCACGCTGGGCGCAAGACCGCTCGTCGTGAAGAAGTCGACCGCTTTCTTCCCTTGCACCTTGCCGTTCTTGTCGACGTCCGCAAGCGCGAACATGCGCCCGTAGAACGCGTCCTCCTCGGGGCTCCTGACCCACATGCTGCTTGTCCGTTTCTACCAAGTCGGCTTGCGGCCCCCGTGCGACGCCAGATATCCGGATACGCAATTTTCCGCCAATCGGTGTGCACCACGACACAGTGTCGAGATCTTCCGACTTCTCCTGCTGAGGTCCACGCTGAGGACACCTCTTGGCTCCGAGTGTCAACGTATGGACCTGCATTTGATGGTTACGACTAAACTTGCCACCGGTACGGACACTTGCAGCAGATGACGACGATGCAGACTCGGTCAGCCATGGCTTTACGCCGGCCCTGGCTGTGCTGCGTCTCGTTGCTACCACAGGACGGACAGTTGAACAAGTCCGTCGAGTACATGAAGCCAGAGAGATCGCGCATATTCCGCGTGACCTCGCGCGTCCGCTTCTTGATCCACTCCTTGCGCTGCTGAACCAAGAGCGGGTTGGCCATGTCACTGGACCGCATACGGACAAGCGTGTCGACTCCGGGATCGCCCTGGAAGAGGCGCGTGCGAAGCAGTGCGTTCTTCGGGTCCCGAAGGTTGAATTTGAGCATGCGGGCTTTCTCCTTGTACGCCTTGGGAACAAAGCAGCCGCTACAAGCACCATAAGAGCTCTGAGAGGGAAATCTTGAGCACGCACTGGTCAAGGCCGTAGAGCGCGTGCAACGCATCCTCTACCGTTCGGGCGAGTGCGATCGCGCCAGACGCGTCATCGGCGAGAAGGTCGAGAAAGAGACCTTCGAAAATAGAGCGGTACTTGCTGCGCGTAACTAGGAAAGAGTAAAGCCAACAAGTGAGCTTGTAAAGCAGAGACTACCTTCGGCGGCGGCGAAACTCCAAGAGCGGCACACGCGTCCCACGGACACCATACTCATGAGAACCATGAGGACTTCGTGTGGCAGGTGGAACGGTATCGTGCCACGCTTCTTTACGTGCACTAATGCTGGCATGAGCGAGAGTATGGGTGGGACATGGCGCTGCTCACCGTCAAGGGCGAGTTCCTTCTCGAGTTCCTCAGCCCACACGTCGTCGTCGTCGTTGTCACTTCCTTCGACTGCACTCTTGACCTCCTTCCCAACAGCTGTCTGCACTTCATCTTGCTTGTCTTCGGCGAGCAGGCGGTTGTCAGCGCCGTCCATTCTCGTCTCCATGGAGCTAACGCAGAACAGCTATTGAGCGTCGCGCCGCTTCGCCTTCGTCAGCATCAGCTGGATTCTGTGGGGCAAAGTGAGAATTTTAATATTGACCAATGACCGCGCCGGAGGCCGACGATTGGGCCTCTTTATCACGAATCAACATGAGCTCCGGCATCATTTTTGGCCAATGAGACGTCAAATTCAAATTCACTGTTGCTTTTGTCACAAGCATGCTCAGCCGCGCTGTGGCAACGCTGGTCCGACGCCACCCGCAGCTCGTCCAGCCGCAGAGGTCGCTCACACACGTCACTTCAGCTGCGACTGGCCTCGTACCCAAGAACCAGATCAAGCCGCAGCGCAAGGCGTGGGGCACAACGGTGCTTGCACTCGAGCGCTACAAAGAGCTCCATGGCCACCTGCAAGTGCCCCAGTCCTTCAAGGTCGAGCCATCAATCCGCGCTGCGTGGCCTGAAGAGACATGGGATATTGCGCTCGGTCGCGTTGTCAACAACCTACGTACGCAGTGGAGGCGCAACGTGCTCTCGTCGACTCAAAAGCACGACCTCGAGCGTCTCGCGTTCCCGTTCACGGGACGCACGATTATTGCGTGGTCAACCAAGCTCCTTGCGCTCAAGACATTTTGCGCACTCGAAGGCCACGTGAACGTCCCGATTGCGTTCATTGTGCCCAGCGACGACGTCTGGCCACCGGTCTTGCACGGCATGAAGCTCGGAAAGGTTGTCAACGCGATCCGAAACCAGGTCGAGTCGCTACCAGCGCATGAGAAAAGCCAACTTGACGCACTGGGTTTCGTTTGGTCGTCTTGGGAGCGATCGTGGGACGCGAAACTCCTCGCTCTCGAGACATACCACCGCCGATTTAACGACTTGCACGTCCCGCGCGACTTTGTCGTGCCAAAAGACGACGCGTCGTGGCCCAAGGAGACGTGGGGTATCAAACTCGGGCTCGCCGTCAACAATATCCGCGGCCGCCCCGAGCGCCTCACCCTCGGTCAGCTCGACGCTCTCTCGTCGCTCGGTTTCCGTGGGATGCCACCGAGATCTCGTTCGCAGTCCGCGTGCGCGGCTGGAAGATTTACGAAAGCCTATACGACACCAACGTCGTGCCCGATGATTTTGTTGTACCTCCAAATGATCCTGCATGGCCCGTGAGCCTCCATGGCGTCGCCCTCGGCAAGCTCATTCAAGCCATGCGGCACAAGCCTGAGAGGCTCACCGTCGACGAGCTCCTCGAGCTGCATGAGCTTGGCTACTTGACGAAGACATAGCGCTAATGGAAATGAAGCGTACTGTATGACTGATATGTACGTGTGCTGCACAAGTATTTGGCCCCAAATCAAGGCTGCAAAACAAGTCGTATGGAAACCGTTGTTTCGTACTTGTCTGAGAAGTGGCAAACGATGCACTATGCTTACTGGCTCTTGATGATGTTGTTGAGCACTTCGTAGTTGTACTTGACGTCCTTGGAGCCAGCCCAGACCATCATACCGCCATAATTGGTGGCCCACTTGGTCCACTGCGAAACCACCGCCGCGCTTGCGCATGGCCCGTAGGCATCACCGTCGCGGCTGCACGTGCCGATCATGACCTTTGGTGCCGTGACGAGCGTCACCCAGCGCGAGAAGATGTCGCCGGGCTTTGTTGCCGCCATGTACATGCCGTTGGCGCTTGCGGGGTTGTCATTGATGTTGTACGCCATGACGTTGACCCAGTCGAGGTACCTTTCGAGGCCGACGGGCCAACAACGAATATATGTCGCGCTCTTGCACGTGTCGAGGTTGCCCTCGTACATGAACGCGTCGTACGTGAGCAGGTAGCTGTTGCCGTTGGCCTTCATTGCCACGTAGAGAGCCTTCATGTACGCCAAGACGCGCATGCCGTCAAACTCGGGGCCGACGCTCTCGTCGTCCATGTCGATGCCGTCAAACTTGTACTTTTGGATAAGCGCCATCGCCGAGTCGGCAAACGCCTGCGGATCCTTGACGGTCTTCATGTATTTGCTAGCGTTGGCGCCACCAATGCTACCGAGGACCAGAATACAGCGCCTGCAAAGCTCGTCAGCGCACGAGAGGCGATCGTTCAAACACGCACTTGCGCAACGCCGAGACACACGCCGTCATGTTGGCCTCGCTCGTCTGGAACGACTGGTTGACGAGGCCCGCTTGGATTTCAGCAAACGCGAAATATACGTGCGTGACGCCATCGGGGATCTACACGCTCAAGAGCTGACTGAAGGGATCAACTGCGTAGTGACGTACGGTCTCGCAGCCGCCAATTTCTGTCATCCAAAAAGCGGCGACACGCTTACCTGGAGGCACAATCTTGCAGCTTGCGGGGCGGTCTAGATGACCCTCACGGACAGACGAGTTGACAACAACGTCGGGCAGTGAGCCAGGCGCTGCGGTGCCCGTCGCAGGCGTTAGCGAAGTGGACGAGCCGTTCGATTTGGTTTGGTGGTCAGGGGTCGCCTTGTCAGAAACGGACGTGGACGACGAGAAGACACCGACGCCACCGAGGATGCTGAAGACGGCGCCAAGAAGCAATATCACTATTGCAAGGGAGTTGTCGCTTTTGATGCGGTTGCACGAGGCGCTGTACCCGCGATGGCGATCTTCGTCCCTTTGTTCATGCTTGTTGGAGGCCAGTTCCGAAATGACAGCGACCATGTGAGAGCTCCACAGTACAGTAGTCATCTGCCCGGGTGAATGAGCGCTCAGCATTACTAGCACTTTGAAACGCACGTTGGATTGGCCGAAAAGATCAGGTTTTACATACCATGCACCAATTACACTCATTCACATGGAAAAAATGCATTTGATTGGCTGAAATGCGAGACAGGTGTGTGCCGGTATGTCGACCAGCCATATCTTTCTTGTTTATGGATTCTCCCATGCAACAAACTGTCGGGCAAAGTGGGGCAAAGGAGGGTGGAATGCCATATATAAGATTTGTATGGAGCCATATGGCAATATCCAGCGCACAAGAAAAGTTGGCGCGATCCGTGCAGGCCGCACGCCAACTGTACAGTACGGTACCGGTAGCAAGCTTGTGGTGGACACCACGAGCACCACGAGCTTGGAAACATTCAGCCACGACACCGGTACTTAATATGCTCTCACGACATGTACATCGGTGGGCTAACCCTACAAATGTACTGTAAGTGAAGCAATGTTGTGTGAAAGAATCGATGACGATACCATGCCGCAAGCGACGTCTGGCAACTGATCCTTTGCTGACACATCGAGGAAACAACTCTTTGCTTTAGACCGCTCTAGAGTACAATCGCAAACAGGAAGTCGGCGATAAGATTGTCGCCTGCAGTGCCCGCAGTATACGATTGTGGCAGCCAAGTAGAACGCAATGACACGAGCGCTGGCACGTTTACAGATTCGACGCTTCCGTGTGGGGCTGAACAAGACTGCAGGTACTTGACTGTAGTTCTACACAATGCCTCGTGTAGTTGCCATGGCGGTTTCGTACTTTAGTGCGAGGATCAAGACGGTGACGGCTTAGGACTTGACAGCGAGCGACAACCTGGTGAGGTTGCCGGTCGCTTGAGTCCACGCGACAAAGGACGTAGTAGTGACGACGAAGATTCTCGTCCTACCTCATATACATAAACACAAGCGGTCGAGATACCTTCGTAAGTGCAGATTTGATATGTTGGGTAAATGGTGTAAGAGTACAAGTACCTTTGTAGCAGCGATGGACTCAGCAATGGCTTGCATCGCGGCGGCTGTAGGCTTGACCATGACCTTGGCCACAGACGAGGCCGAGGACTCCGACAATGAGCATGAGATGCACCAAAAGCTCGCAAGAAGGCCGCACCAGGGGTGTACAAGTACATGAACGAGCGGCAGAAACGAAGCGCCGCGAAACTCGACGACATGGAGCACGAGGAGCTCTCTGCCAAACTCTCGGCCCAGAGCTTCCGCAAGGTGGTGCCAGACACCTAAACGGTATAAGTGGTGCTCCTGTGCAGTAGATTGCGGGGCACGTCGCATGGTAGATGGACGCGTTCAACCGTGTCTTTCTTTACATTGCGGCAAGCACCGAGGACGACGTCAAGGTAGCGTTCTCTATATGCTGCCTTATACTTAGTATGTGTATTGTGAAAGAAAAATAGGGGAAGGGGTGGCGCGCGTCCGAGCCCCTGTCTCGTTCGGCCAAGAGGTACCAGTACTTCTTGGCCGGCTGGAAAAGATCCGATTCGAAGAATAAAGCGCAACTTCGAAAATGGCCAGCGCGGTCCACGACGCTGCGATCGAGCTGCAAGCGGTGCTTCTATCTTCAAGACGCCTTCGACAAACAGCGCTCCCGAGTCGACAGCGCTTCGACACGACGAAGCTTGCCCCAGTCTCGTCTGCCCCCGACTTTCTCGAGCTAAGCAGCGACGAAGAGTCCGACGCCGATGACAACAACACGAGCACTTCCCGATACGACGATGAAGATTATGGTGCTATCTCCGATTGCTCTACGCTGAGCGACTATGACGAGCCAGAGCCAAGCAAAAAGGAGACGCCTACTGTGGAGCAGCTCACTGTGGTTGCCGACGAGACAGACCTTGCGGCGAAGCTCTATGCGCGTATGGTCGAGCTCGACGCTTTAAAAACCGACATGCTGCAAGCGGTAGCGTCAGCGGTTCAGCGCCTCGACGCCTTTATCGCAATCACCACAGAGGGTCCCACGACGTTTAGCAATTCCTGGGACGGAGCATTGCCGTTGGGCACGGCGCTGGACCGGCAGCTCGGCGTGTGGGCTCTGGCACTTCACGAGTGGGCTGCTCTACAACGGCGACCTCTAGCACAGATGAGTACCTCCGTGGCTGTGCAGGGTACGGACGCGAAATCTAAACGGGTGCGGTGCCTCACGTGACTCTCAATCTAGCTGATGTCAGCTCTGATAACACGCCAAGGGCGCAAAATGGATGCGTGCAGTGCTCCGTGCAACCTCTGTACGACCAAGCACCTGCGCACAGCACTAGCGAATGGAACGAGCGCCTCACGATGGCCAAAGAAGAATGTTCAAGTCTGCGCGTACGGTGTGCTGCTCTTTCCAAGGTATAACGTCAAAAGCTCGGTTCCATCTCCTCACAGTTCCTTGCAGCAAGAACGAATCGATGCTGAGCACGAGAAGGCGCTCCTCGCGCTTCAAGTAGCGTCGATGGAGCGTCGTTTGGATGAAGCCCTGCGGCAAGTCGCGCTCAACCTCGAGCTCGCGGCGGAGCAAAAGCGCACGTACGAGCTTGAAGCCACCGAAGTTGACCGCCTCAAATCTATGAACATCCGCGTACTGGAGGCGCTCATCGAAGAAGATGGACGACTTCAGGCGCGAGAAGCAGCCTTTCTTGCGGAAGAGCAGCAACTGCGCGACCGCCTGCTACAGGAGCGCGTCGCGCTGGAGCGCTTCAAGAAGACGATTCTCACAGAGCTCATACATATCTGTACCGCTCTGGAAGTGGCGCCAACGACGCCAGGTCTCCAGCAGCGGCTCCGTGCCGCATGCCGCGAGAGCACGCTGTTCTTTGGTCATGCGCCGTCAACTGCATAGTAGTACAACTGCAAGCCGTGTTGTCAACATAAAGAAGTGGCATTCCACTCATTACCGCGTCGTCTCGTCCACATATCTCTGAGAGACTTTGCGTGAAGGTGTCACATCGTCATTGTGCGTGATTCTCGACACCGCCGCTGTGCCTCTCCTCCTTCAAGTCCCTGGGCAGCTACGAGCGCAGCAGCTATATGGCAATAGAGACTCTGCGTTCCGGGCGTTCATAGATGCCCATGTGTGCCTCTTGCGATGAGGTCAATGGTTCCTGGCGCCCACTGCGACGTGGTCCCGCCGAGTCCGCGCCAAAAAGATCCCAACCGGCACACTGACGCAAGCTTTTGGCGTGCAATAGACGTTAAATTCCCCGTCATATAAAGCAGCCAACACCAAATACAAAACGAGTTTAAGTAGCATTTTATTGATTAAACGCAGTGTTTGTATGAAGAGAAAACAAATTTCATTAAAAATACGTTGTCGGAAACCAGCGCGAAAAGCGTCAACAAAACAATGGGTCCACCATTCGAAAATTATTGAGCGGATCAAAGCGCCTGCTGCTACACCCGCATGCAGCGCTCCTGTGACGAGTGCCATCGGGTCGTAGCCGACGGCGCCGACGACGAGTGGCGCTGCTCCGCCTGCCGAGGGACCTTCCACGCGCCCTGCGTGCGCAACAAGCGCCGGACCAAGACCTCATGGACCTGCTCGGGCTGCTCAGGCCGACTCAAGCCCGAACGCGGCCTCCTCCTGGCCGAGACAGTCAAGAAGCTCATTGAAGACAGCGACGACGACGACGAAGTGGATGAGCTCTGGGACCGCATGCAAGGAGTGCCAGCACGAGATGACGCGTCATCTCCTAGCGAGACAGACGAGGTACGCGTTGCATTCGGGCCAGTATGCATGCTGATGGGCCACTTGGACGTGTCTAGACGACAGCTGAAGGCGTGGCAACAAAAGCCACATCGTCATCTGCGCTCTCGACGGTATGCAGCTCGCGCTACATGGATGCATCAACTCATGGTGTGGTGTTGAAGGGGAGTCGCGGTGCGAGCCCGTTGGACCAGTCCGAGTCTGAAGAATTGCCGATGAGTACAGATGGCGTGTGCTCCTCTTGCGGCTTGACAACGATCCCCGAAATGCACATTGCAAAGTGCGGCGCGTGCCACGTGTCGACGGGACACACACTATGCCTGCAGAGCGCGAGCAAGGGCCGATGGCAGTGTCCATCCTGCTTAGAAAATGAGCGCGACAAAGCCCCTCGCCGGGGTAGTCGTCAGCGGGGCGCGCGCACGGACCACATCATCATTCCTCTTGACGAACCGCTCGACGACGCGATGGTCGTGCTCTGCGACGGCTGCTCGGGTGAGTTCTCGATGGCGCATCTCGACATGCGGGTAGTACCGTCTGGACTATGGTTCTGCGTGCACTGCAACGCCGCCCACCACGCCAACGCGATAGACAGTGACGACATGGACGACGACGCGGCCAAGTCTCGGCCACGCAAGGCGCCAAAGCCAGAACTAAAGGCGGACGAGATCATCGATCTTGCACTGGACGACGACAGCGACTGTGCGACGAAGACGACCAAGACATCGCGGAAGCGCAAGCGTGATGCGTCTCCATCGAGCGGCGACGGGCCAAAAAGGACATGGGCCGCACCGCGCCGCCGCACCCGACCAACTCCAAGTCTGGGAAGCGTGTTCCGAAAGAGAGCAAGGCGTCGCCCAAGCCCAAAAAATCCCGCAAGGGAAGTGGCAGTCGAGGAAGCACGCCCAGAGCATCGCCTCACGTCAGCGAGGATGAAGATGAGAAGGAGACAGCCGCCGATCCGTCGCTGGACAGCGTGACGCGGCAGCCGCTCCGCATCGTGATCCCAGAGCCCCTCACGGAGAGGACGAAACGCATCGATGACGTCAAGCAACTGAAGACGCTACACCAATACGTCGGGCGGCGCGTCTTGATACGCCATCAGGACGACGCACCGTGGTCCATCGGCGACGTCATGACGCTGGACCTGCACCGATTGCTCTTCCGCGTCGACTTTTGTGACGCGACGACGCAGTGGCTGCCGTTGCACTCTCTTCCAGTGGCCGTCGGTACGAACACCAACGTCTTTCTGCACCTCGAGCGCCAGTGGTGGCCAGCGCAGAAGATGGTCCTCAACGACCCAGCAAAGCTTCTCTTTGGCGCGGCGAAGGAGGAAACAGACGCACTTGCGCTCTTGTACGCGTCGTCGTCCGGCGACGACGAGGCGCGTGTGGTGTGGTGTCCGCTCTCGTCGTTGCGGTCCTTCGACAAGTGGCTCGCCACCGACGCCGCCGACGCGTACGCAGACGATGCCGCGTGGCTACGGGCGGTCGACACGGCGCATGGAGCCAATGACCGCTACGTCGCAATTGTTCAGGACGCTCGCAATCGGCTCGCGCGCGAGATCCAAAAGCACTTTGTCGGCGCTGACTGGGTCGGCAAGCGCGTTGGCATCACTGATTACGCGACGCAGACGACGCTCGTGGGCCGTATCACGCGTATGGACAAGGTGCCGGGCAATGGCGACAACTATTGGCTCGAGACCGAAGAAGGTGCCAACGTCGTCGTGTCGCCTCCGCCGCCGGCAACCACCGAGAGCGTTCGCTCGACGGCATGGACGTGGCAGTGCCATCTTTCCTACGCCGACCTCTCGATGCAATGGTACCTTGACGCTGACGCAGTCCTCCAACTGCAGTCCAGTGGGAGCAATGACCTGGAGCTCGACTCTGACGCGCCGGCCACAAACGAGAATGCGCCGACATGTGCGACGTGCCTCTTCCCACTGCAATCAGCGTCCGTCATCGCGTGCAGCGTCTGCTCTGTCACGACTCACAAAGCATGTATCTCGCCGCCCTACGAGCGATTTCCAGTCCTCGACAAGGACGGCACAGAGCTCGTTGGAGACCTTGAAATCCCGTATGTCTGCGCCAGCTGCCGGTCGTGCGACGGTTGCGGTGCCTCGGACGTTGACGTGTGGCAGGTTTTCGAGACCAAGCTTGCGCGCCTCTACGTCTGCGTCAAGTGCAGTATCGAGTACGCGGCGCAGCAGTACTGTCCCGTGTGTCACAAACCGCACGGCAGCGAGGGCTTTTGTGCCGACGTGCTCCAGTGCACGTCGTGCGAGCTGTGGGCGCACAGCGCTTGCGAGCCGGATGAAGACCCCATGTACCACGCAACGCCAGCCGAGAGTGAGATCCTGGACTTCAGCGTTGGCGCGATTGACCCAACCGACGTGTGTCCCGACGACATTGGCAGCGACAAGCTGAAGCGCAAGTGGCTGGACGACCGGCTGGCGCGCGCACTGAGCTTCAAGCCCAAGTACGACCCGCGGACAATGGCCAAGTACGAATGTGCGAGCTGCCGCCAGCTGCGTCTCTACAAGCTTCTGCACGCGCTGCGCGCCGAGGACAAATTCGGCATCTTTAGCGAGCCCGTGACGGTCGAGATCGCGCCAACGTACTTTGACATCATCAAGTCGCCGATGGACCTTGGCACGATGGCGCGGCAACTGAAGGAGCGCGCGTATGTTCATGGCCTCGGCGCAGACTTTCGGGACCACTTTGAGCTCTTGTGCTTGAACGCGGTGACGTTCAACTCGAAGGAACGCGATTACCTCGTGTGGCGCGAGGCGTGGCGCTTCTACAACGCCGGTGCCCGCCTCCTGCGGCAGCTGTTGCCGTCGGTGCTCCTCGTTCCAAATGGCAAGTACTCGGAGAGCATCGCTGCCGCAGCCAAGCGTCAGTTGCCCAATAATTCGACGCTTGTGACAAAAGACGAGAGCGTGCCCGCGTCCGTGGGTGGTGCTGGCCCGACGCTTGCCAACGCCATGCTGGCCAAGACGAAAACGGACGATGGTCTCGGTACGCCCATAGACTCCCCACTGCATGTGCCGTCGCCCTCGATCGGATCCGAAGAAGAAGTGGACGTTGCGGCGTCGGGGCCGGCGACGGACGTCGGTCGCCCGGACGTCTTCAAGCTCCCGACCGAGCTCGGCATTGTGCCCAAGCCGTACTCGTGCGTGGCCAGCGTCGTCGCGACGCAGTCTTTGGCACAAGCGCACGTTTTGGCGTGGCGCGATGCTTGCGCCGTCTGCTGCAGTACGGGCGTGCCCGAGAAGTTTGTCTTTTGCATCGACTGCGGCGAGGCGTACCACCAGTTTTGCCTCCACCCGCCGCTGGACGTGTCGAACAACCCTGCCAAGCAAACCAAGCTGCAGGCGTTCTGGCGCTGCCCCAACTGCAAGGTATGCGAGCTCTGTGGCACCAACAAGGACGAAGCCAAGCTCTTGGTCTGCGATGTTTGCGAGCGTGGTTGTCACACGTTCTGCCTTCGCCCAAAATTGCGCGATGTGCCATCGACGGGCTTTGTGTGCGGCAACTGCATCGAGTGCGAGACGTGCGACGAGATCCAGGACAGCGCGTCGTGGAGCGCAAGCGTCTCGTGCTGCATCGGCTGCATGGATGACTCTGCCCGCGACTCGTTGCTCGGTGCGCCGCGCAAGCCCCGCTCGCGCGGCGGCAACGATAACAACACTTGTCCCGGGTGCCAAAAGCGCTGGTCCGAGTCGGAGACGCTTATACAGTGCGATGGCTGCCAGTCGTGGGGGCATCCTGCATGCGACAACATCACAGAAGAGACGCTTGCGTCGCTCACAGACGAGAGTGAGTACTACTGTCCTCACTGCCGCAAGAAGCAGCGAAAGCACCTCAAGGCCTTCCGGCAAGCGTGGGGCCTCCAGCTCAACATTGCGCTCATCCAAGAAAAGCGGCAGGAGGTTACGCTAGCGTGGGAGTCGCAGCAATCGCTGCGTCAGACGTTGCGGCAGTACGACCACTGGCGCAACTACGCGCCGCTGTACCTTTACATCTTGCGCTGCGGTGAAGAGTGCTTGAAAGCGCTCTCAGGGCGTCGCATCTCATTCCTTGTCGAGCCACCGTCTACGGGTTTCTCCGAAAGCATGATCCCGATTGCGCTGCGGCAAGCTGCTAGCCGCTACATCCGCTTCAAGCGCTACTCTCGGGGTCCCCGTGCTGCTGCGCGTCGAGAGCTGCGCAAGAAGCAGCAATTCTTCACGGTGGACGGTGTCGCGTCAACGCCGTCGGCGATCGCGCACATTGTGTCGGAAGCAGTCGGTGCCGCATCCTTCTTGGCCTGCTGCACGTGGCTCTATGGCACGAAGCGCGTGAGCCTCTTCACGGCCGGACTCCTCGCGAGCCACGACATTCCAGCGCGGCTCTCGGATGCGCTCGTCGATCGCAGCGCTGTTTCGATTGATGCCGAGGTCGCCGCCATCACCAACGAGTATGCACGCCGGAAGCAGCATACCACCAAGCCACAGGTCGATGAGGTGCTACCACTACCTGACGCGCCCGTGTCGCCGAGCGCAATCGAGATTCCAGACGACGGCGACACGGGCAGTGACGCGTCAGCCGAGATCGAAACCAAGGTCGCGGTTGCTGATATTGCGCCCAAGCTGGTGCGCGTGCCTGAGGCGCCCGTGCACACGGCACTTGCGAACATGACGTTTGCGCCACCACTGCGCGACTGGGGCGACTGGTCGGCGACGCTCGGGGCTTTTTCGGACCCGCGCGTGTGCGGCTTGTGCCGTGAGTCTGGAGACGACCCATCGTTTGCAGGACGCCTCGTGTTTGCGGATTTCGACCAGTGGGTGCACGTCAACTGCATCTCGTGGTCGTCCGAGGTCTACGAAGACAGCTACGGCGTGCTCAAGATGTGCCAGAAAGCCCGATTCCGCGGCCGCACGTACCGTTGCGCAGTGTGCGCGCTGAGCGGCGCAACAGTTGGCTGCCATGGACTCCGGTGTCAGCTCAATTATCATCTGCATTGCGCGACGCCGCACCTGACGTTCACGACGGAAAACCAAGCGTTCTGCGCTGACCACTGGCGCGTTCACGTCCAAAAGACACACAGCAAAAAGCGCAAGCGTGACGATGACGTCGCGGCGCGCAAGAAGCTCAAGACGGCAACCACCAGCTACGAAGCAACGGACGGGGAATCCGTGCCGGCATGTGACGTGGCGGCGTGCTTGAATGACCTCGTCGATCACGTTGTGGCAACGGCAACGCTCGAGACGCCGACGCCAGGCGTGGAGCCGCTTCGGTTTCTCATGTGCGAGCAGGAAGCAACGAGTGGCAAGTCCAAGAAGCTCAGCAAGACGCAACTGGCCAAGGGCGTCTGCTACCGCATCGGCGCGCTCACCGTTCATGCGCTCGGTGCAATCGAGGTCGACAACAACTCGTGTCATACTGTCTCAACTTTGTACCCGATTGGGTACCGGAGCACACGCATCTTCTGGAGTGCCGTGACGGTCCAAACGCGCTGTCTCTACGAGTGTGAGATCCTGCTGTCGCCGACCAAGACACCGCTCTTCCGCATCACACCGTCCGACGACAGCGCCAACCCGATCTTTGGTGTCTCGCCCAACGGTACGCAGTCGACTCATGATGTTATATTGAGTGTTTGCTAGACGCGATGAACCAACTCCGAATTCGTCTGCTGGCGCTGTACGAGACGCACCGCGTCTTTAGCGCCGGTTGGAACCCGTTCCTTCGGCGGACATCGTGGTTTTCGTACGGCCTCGTTGGCGACCACTTTTTTGGCCTCACCGTGCCCGTTGTCGGCGCGGCCTTGGAGGCATTGCCGATGGCGCCGACCTGCGCCCTCTACAACCCGGTGGCCAACCCGCATCCGTACGTGTTTTGCCACGTGCTGCCGTCCGAGGCCACGTTTGACGAGGTGCGAACGGAATTCAAGCGGTTGCGCTCGATGCGCGAGCATGCCAAGCAGTCGTCGGGCAGCATCCGCACGGACGGGTACCACGGGTGGCAGCAGTCGAAAGCGATCAAGCCCTCGACCAAGAAGAGTCGGAAAGTTGGGCTCTCGAAGCACGCAGACGAGCCGATCGCTGGCAATAGCAACAACGCCAACAAGCCGAGCGTCGACTTGGAGCAGCTTCCGATTGCTATGCAGTACCGTGAGCTCCGGAAGCGACCCTTTGATGAGCGCCTCGAGGTGCGCAAGTCGCGCATCCACGGCTACGGGCTCTTCGTCAAGGAAAAGATCGCCGAAGGCAAGATGATAGTCGAGTACCAAGGCCAAGCCATCCGGCAAAAGGTCGCCGACTGCCGTGAGAAGAGGTATCCGTCGTCGCGCGCGGCAACCACGACCGCTCACAGTCATGATCTAGATACGAGGAGATGGGCATCGGGAGCTGCTACATGTTTCGGCTCGACGCCGACACGATCGTCGACGCGACGCGCACAGGCAACCTCGCGCGCTTTATCAACCACTCTTGCAACGTACGGCTCTGCGAGTCAAATACTACGTGCTATTACTAAGGTTTGCTGCGTCCATAGCCCAAGGCGAACGCGCGCATCATCACGATCGACGGAAACGAGAAGAAGATCATCATCTTCGCCAAGCAGACACTCAACGTCGGCGACGAGGTCACGTACGACTACAAGTTCCCGATCGAGGACGAAGCGATCAAGTGCGACTGCGGTGCCGTCAACTGCATCGGCCGCATGAACTAGAAGAACTACCGGTGCCGCAGCCCGAGTATCAGCCCGACGAGGAAGCCCCCTAGTAGACATTTGAGATAGCAGACCGCGGTAAATGCATTCCAACATACCTGGTGAGAGCACGCGCGGCGGTGGCCGGCGTGGCCGCTTCTCTTTTCGGAAGCTTTTGGTCAAGTCGTCCCAGATCTCGACGACACTCAGCGCCGTCGACGTTGGCGGTGGTGCCGCGACCAGCGCGTGGAGCGCAAAGTACTTTTGATGCGCTTCCAGTGGATCTCTACGAGGCCCTCGGAGGACGCGATGGCTGCAATGCCGAGGACGCCAATGATGTGGCCAATGTGCTTGAGAGCATAGCCCGCGATGAAGCCCATCGTGGAGCTGAAGACGACGGGGTACGTCAGCGAGATCTGCGTCACAATGTCTTGGTTGGTGATATCCGCGCACTCGCGCGCCTCCTACGTCGTCCTTATGAGTCAAGGTCCACGTATTGCAGTCGATACCTGCAGCTGCGCCTTCTCCCACGCGTCGTGTACCGAGACGTTCGTGTCGAGCGACTCGAGAAAGTCCAGCGGCACGTAAATGCCGGGCACAGCCATTTCCGAGAGATCACCAGAGCTGAGGCCCAGCAGTACCTGCATCGGGTCGATGCGAATCACGACCTTGGCTGACTCGGCACCTACGCAAGCGTGAGCGCAACGTGATGCGCACGACGCCGACCTGTCGGCGGCAACTCCAAGTACAGCGCGCTCATGACGCCAATTTTCAGAAATGGCAGGCCGGCTGTCGATGTGCGTTAAACGCTTTTGACGTACTGTGCTAAACGCTGCGGAGCGAGTTCTAGTTCTGCTCATGTCTTGTTGCGTTTTACGCATTTTGGATACGTGCCAGGTGGCAGCTGGCTTCGAGACGAATCGCGGATGTACCACGCAACACGAACGAGACGACTTCAATTCAGCCCGCGGAGCTTGCATGACGCAGTCGTAGGAAGAGATACTTCAGGACGCCGTACAGCTACTATTACTTCTGCACGACTGGCGGAGAAAAACGTTTAGCTTCACGTTAAACGCCGTGACCTTTTTCTGTAACCGGCGCCTGCCGAGCCCTCTCCCGCCATCCATGGGTGTCCTTCGTGCCGTCGACGAATGACAAGTTGTCTGTTCGTCGCGGCACAACCTAAGCGTCGTTTACATGAACAGCATGCCCGGGGTATAACTAATAGTTCTCGCACGTCGTCGTCTTGGTTCGGTAGAGACACGAGGCGGCGACGCGGAAACGCTGCGTACGGAGTCGACAGGGTCAGCTCCTGCATCGCCCTGTTGTTGATCTGTGTACCGACCAAGCAATTCACAGGGATCTCGATATGCTACGAGTAACACAACTCGCAGCGAATACACTCGGGATTACTCCTACCACCGAAATGCGCTTTCCTATCGGTAAAGGAGTCTCAGTGAATGTGAGTATAGACAGACATGTCAGGCTCAAGCCTACAACCACTGCGTAGTGGTTGTAGTACTCTGGAAATACACGTCGCCTTCCTCCACAATACACACATAGACCAACTCCGGTTGTCCGAGGTACAAGGTCATCGACATTAGCAAAGACTATCAAGATAGAAATGCAACACCGCACACACACGAAGAGAGCGGAAGGGTGTGTGGAGGCTTGGGCGTAGCGGGTGTCGTCGGCAAGGCGAGCGTAGCCATCTTCCATAGAGACGTTGCCCTCCATCTTCTTGGCAAGCAGCACCGAGGCGACGACGGCAACAACAGCGATACACGCGACGACCAAGATCCCGTTGTTGGCAGCCGAGCTCTACATGGCGTTGAGCTGGCTGGAGCCAACGGAAACAGCTTTGGCCGAGCACTACGAAACGGTGTCGCTGAGGTACGTAGCGACACTAACGCTCTCACTATCGAGGTAGACGAGCACATCGTCGCCAACGGGACACATTGAGCTCGTGCCGTCGCTCGCCGAGCGTGATCTTGTCGCAGAGCGAGACCGACGACTGCGACGGCAACGTCTCTGTGGAAGACGGCTACGCTCGCCTTGCCGACGACTTCCGCTACGCCCAAGCCTCCACACACCCTTCCGCTCTCTTCGTGTGTGTGCGGTGTTGCATTTCTATCTTGATAGTCTTTGCTAATGTCAATGACCTTATACCTCGGACAACCGGAGTTGGTCTATGTGTGTGTTGTGGAAACAACATTTTGAGTTGTTTAAGGGTATCTGCGCATGATCAACGACGGCATTCTAGAATTAGCCGGTGCCATATCGATTTGTGAGCTAGTTTTGTTGTGCAGCTTGAAAAGGAAATGCGAATCCACTCAGATCACTTTTGCTCATACCTCGGTGACACTGTTTCAGTCTTGGTGATGAACCGCTTTCTTCCTGGCGCCATTCTACTTTCAAGCCAGCATCCCATTATGCAGTCACGGAAATGTGGCGTTCACGCAGAGATCTTGTAGCGGGGTGTCGCGATCGTGAGAGGGCGTCGGATCGAACCTCTCTCTTTGAATAGCATATATTTATGGAGGTTTTTGCACAGATCCTGCCAAAAAAATATCTTGCTATTTGTAAGGCAGCGTGGAAAAATCGCGGCCCGAGATTGGGCCAACCAAATTGACTTGAAAACGAGGAGACCGCGGGAGGACGGAAGCATGGCCAGCCCCCACGATCCCCTCATGCATAGCATGGCCTCCTTGAGCCTGGAGCATGGGCGACCCGGCGAGCATACCGCTGACCAAGACGACGATCTCCAGGAAGATGTCCTTGGTGCGCCGGACGAGCCCGTGATCTCAGACCTCGAGTCGAGCGACGTCGAGAGCGAGAGCGACGACGAGGACGACGAAGAGGACGACGAAGAGGAAGAAGAAGAGGAGCTTAGCTGGATCTCGTGGTTCTGCTCGCTGCGCGGCAATGAGTTCTTTTGCGAGGTCGACGAAGATTACATTATCGACGACTTCAACATGACCGGCCTCAGCAGCATCGTGCCATACTACGACTACGCGATGGACATGATCCTCGACGTCGAGACGCCGCATGAAGACAGTTTGACGGACATCCAGCAGGAGATGGTCGAGTCTGCGGCTGAAATGCTCTACGGCCTCATCCATGCGCGCTTCATTGTGACGACGCGGGGCATGGCCGCGATGCTCGAGAAGTACCAGAACGTCGAATTTGGCCGATGCCACCGCGTGCACTGTCAAGGCCAGCCTGTGCTGCCCGTTGGACAGTCGGATGTGCCGCGCCACACGACCGTCAACATCTTTTGCCCGCGCTGCCGGGACATCTTCTTCCCCAAGTCGCAGCGCCAAGGCAGTACGATGCACTACGACTCGGACCATAGAGACTAACGCGCTTTGTTGTGTAGACCAAGACGGCTCGTACTTCGGCACGACGTTCCCCCACCTCTTCCTCCTCGCGCACCCGTCGATCGTGCCGTCGCCGCCGTCGCAGGCGTACGTGCCCCGCATCTTTGGCTACAAAATACATCACACGAGCGAATACTACCTCGGGAAGCGGGAAAAGGAGAACGATAGAAACGGCCATCGCCGCGGCCGGCGAAAGCAGATCCAGGACAAGGCGGTGTAGACGCAGTTGTGCGAGTACACGACGAATACCGCTACAACCCCTGTCGCCCCACCCACACGCTACCCAATATGATGATTACGTTTTCCCTTGTCGACGTGCTCTTCTTTGCTCCTCATTGTACATGATCGTTGGCGTGCGGGTATGACTCGCCGCATCGATCTTGATTTCGCCTCGGGTCGAGCCGGCTCGTTGCTATTACGTCAGAAGACCGCATTTAAGGTTGAGGGTTAACACCAGTTGTCCTCGATCGCGGTCCCTGTTCAAAACGCGGTCCCAGTTTAAAACGCGGTTTTCAAGTCCCGTCATCAAATTGCTGAAGTCCGTCGCTGCATACGTCAGTTGCTAGCCCGGGATGGGCGAGGCTGCTTCGTTGAACTTGGCATGTCGTTCACAATCTTGTCTCGTCTTGTCGCGTCTCCTTTGCTGCGCATTGTTCGTCCTCATCGCCAAGCAAAACACTCTCTCTCGCAGGGCATCGACTCTAATGCCATAAATCGCGCTCTGCCCATGGTGATCAAGGTGCTGTCGCGTCAACGGTGCTTCACCGGACTTCTGCGGATTTTTGCTGGTCGCGGGAAGATCGCAATTCCCATTTTAGCCAATCCGATCGCTGTAATGTTCATGGCTGCAAGGCCATTGGTCCGACCAGGTTGGCGTCCGTGGACGATCCCCACCACTTTGCCTTTTGCCTTCCTCGGCGCAGACGATATGGAGGCGTACTGGCACGCGTTCGAAGCGTGGGCGACGCCGATCGGCGATGCGTTTCTCAACTTCATGGACCCGGACGGTCTCTACAAGGCGTCGGCGATTGCCTCGTGGCCGCTCGGCGATTTTGCCAGCGCCCTTGCCATCGCTCTCCTCTACGTGGCCGCGATCATCTTCGGTTCGGCCATCATGTTGCTCGGCTTCCCCGCCGTGAACACGCGAATGTTGCAGTTCGTGTACAACCCGATCCAGATTATGCTCTGCTCCTACATGTGCATCGAAGCCGGCGTCCAAGCCTACCGCCACGTAAGCAATCACTATCGCAACGAGTCGGAACTCACGCTGGTGATAAATAGCACTACTCGTTCTACCCGTGCAACCCGTATGACGCGACGAACCCGGTGATGGGTCGGCTCCTCTGGCTCTTCTACATGTCCAAGATTCTCGACTTTGTGGACACATTCATCATCATCGTGGGCAAAAAGTGGAAGCAGCTTTCGTTTCTGCACGTGTACCACCACCTCAGCGTCTTCCTCGTCTACTGGTTTCTCTTCCGCGTCTGCTACGACGGTGAAATCTACCTCACGATCCTCCTCAACGGTGGCATCCACACGATCATGTACACGTACTACTTCGTGAGCTCCCACACGAGCAGCATCTGGTGGAAGCAATACCTCACGATGCTGCAGCTCGTCCAGTTTGCCATCATGAACGTCCAAGGCTACCTCGTGATCGCGAACGCGTGTCCCAAGATTCCATTCCGCGTCCAAGTCACGTACATGCTGTACGTTCAGTCGCTCTTTTGGCTCTTCGTCTTCTTCTTTGCCAAGACGTACTGCGGTGGCAAGCCCCGCGCCAAGATGGACTAGAACGTAACCTTATGAATGCAGTCCTACCTCGACATCCCGCATGGACAACATTGATGTGCTCGACGAACTCGTTGGAGGTCAGCATGTTGTGAAATCGGCGGCCACGGTCATTGCTACACGAAGGCCGGACATGCAACGCTAAGCTCAGAATAGCATTCCACCATCATCAGCACTGCAGAAGAGATACTGTGCGGTGCAAATCGCTGAAGGTGTATATTGAACGTCTCCTCCAAGGTGTACACATGGCATTCAACTTGCATCTATGTGCGGCGTTTGCGAGATGATAGCCCGTCCATTTGTCGACTCGGACACCATTGACTCGAATGCCATGGCGTGTGTCAGTGGCAGGCGTGAGACCAGAATGGCCGAGTCGCCCTCGATGGTAAGGGTTTCGACGTGCCCGTCGAAGCGGTGCAGTGCCTTCTTGACCACGGCGACGGCGTGAATAGGCACGAGTACGCTGACAATATGCTGGACGCAAGTCTCTTGAACGCTCGCGGCCTCCATCGCGCACTTGGCCGCGCTGTTGTAGGCGCGAACGAGGCCGCCCGTGCCCAACTTTGTGCCGCCAAAAATGCGCGAAACGACGAGGCAGACATTCAGCACATCGTGCTGCTGCAAGACGTGCAGGATCGGCCGGCCGGCACTGTTGTGAGGCTCGCCGTCATCGGACGCGAACGATTCGGGCGGCGACGCGAGCGTGTAGGCGAAGCAGTGGTGATTGGCCTGCGGGAAGATCGCTCGGCGCGCTGCGACAACTGCCAGTGCGTCTTGGCGCGACGTCACAGGGCTCACAAACCCGATGAAGCGCGATCCCTTGATCTTTGGCACCTCGGCCTCGACGGCGCGCGCAATGGACAAGAATTTCATCGCTACCCGTCCTCGGTATCGATTACCCGACACCGAAACATGGCGCTTCTAAGCGACATTTGGCTTCGTGTATATAAAAATAGACGGCGGAAGATCCCATGAGCATTTCGCTCTGTATTGGGCAGTGCGGCAACCAAGTCGGCGCCGAGCTCCTCGCGCTCTCGCAGCATGGCGTGACTGCAGACAGCCAGAGCCATCGACCTTGCATTCTCGTCGATTCGGAGCCCAAGGTCGTTAGTGCGATAGCCGATCGCGTCGCCGGTGTCCACGTCGAGCAGAGCGGTCGCGGCAACAACTGGGCGATGGGCTACCACCAAACAACAAACGTAGCCCTCACTGCGCGAGTGCTCGAGTCGCTGCGCAAGGAAATCGAGGTCGTCGACTGCTATCGAGGTGCTATCCTCTTGCATAGCCTAGCAGGTGGCACTGGCGCTGGCCTCGGAAGTCGACTCCTCGAGGCGATTCGAGACACGTACCCCAAGGCGTACATTCTAACGGCTGCATTGCGCCCTCGCTTGTTGGCGACTCGCCGCTGCAAAACTACAATGCGCTCTTTACGCTGCGCCATCTCCAGATGTACTCGGACGCAATCTTGTATAAGGACAACGACGACGTCGCGCGCCTCGTGGCCCATTGGCGCGGCGCAACCGGCGGCGTTTCGCTGACTGAAATGAACCGGCTCGTAGCCGGTGACTGGGCCGGGCTTTTCCTACCCTCGGACAAGCGACCCTTTGATCTCGGCTCGTTTGTGACGCAAACGTGCCCGATGGCGACGGTCAAATTTGTCGATGTCCGGACCGCGTATTACACCCAACGCCCCCGCTTCAAGCCATCCGATTCGCGCCTCGTAGCGCTACTTCCTTCTACAGATGACGCCGCGGGCCTTGCAGCGGCGACGAAGCAGCTCGTGGCATCCTATCCGTATCCGGCGACCCAATCTCCGTGCATTGGTCGGTCTATTCATGTTCGCGGTGGCGCGACAGCAGCGTCCTTGACGTCCGTGGTCAAGGCTATCGAAAGGGCATTTCCAGCGCCCAACTGGACAGAGCAGCGCATCGCGACCACGGTGTCGATGGCGCCACCGGTGGCAACGTCCGGTGCAGTCACAGTGAGTGCCAACGGCCAAACGAACGCGATCCCGATGCTCTCGACGTTTGTCAGCCGCGCCGCCCAGCAGCTGCACGCCAAGGCGTATCTCCACTGGTACAAAAAGTACGGGGTCGAAGAGGACTACTTCCACGAGACACTCGATGCTTGCCTTGACGTTGTCGATGCGTACGCTAGTTTTGTCTAACTCGTCATAAAATCGAGTAAATCTAAATAAATTACGAGACGCAACATCCTATCTGGTCGTCTCCAGTAGAGTCCTAGTAGCTCAGTGTGTACTTCGAGTACCCGACAGACTTGCAGTCCACCGAGCAGTACTCGTCGTACTTGCTGGCGTACCGCAAGTACTGGCGCTTGCACGTGGTGCACGCCTTGCTATCGCCTTGGAATGTCGTGCTTTGACAACTCGGGTCGACGCTTGGTGCGTGCGAATTGCAGCAGTTGTTGATCGTGCTCGTGTATCGACGGCTCGCGCCCGCTAGTGCGACGGGGCTCAACTTCTTGGTGTCTTCGCAGTTGCTTCGGCGGCGCCAGCGCGTGAAGAGCGCCTTGGGCGACGGAATGCTCAGGCTGATCATGTGCTCTCGGAAATGCAAAAGGCCAACTGACCGGTCGACGGTCGGTCGCTTGCTTGCCCAGCTGTCGCGGCTGGTGACATTCGCATGGACAAGGCTTGGCCTGCCACGTGCATCTGCAGAACTGTCGGTTCCACCAATGGAACGATTCTGCTGCGAAATACGCGTCACGGATTGGCTCGCTCGGTCGCGCAAGTGGCATTCCAATCACACCAGGTGGATTCGAACCAGCGGCCACGAAAGCGGCCACATTGCTTCTATATCGCTGGCTGCCATGGTAATAGCACTCGAACCGAGGTACTGCTCCTGCCGGGTGATATGGGGTCGGAGCCTCGCAGCCCAAGCAGGTCGGCTGCAACCTTGCGAACAGGCCCTGAAAGAGTCGCGAAAAAGCAGAGAAAACGAGAGAAAATACTTTACCAGAGACCAGGGCAAGAATGCAAATCACACGTCGTCTCGATAGAAAGGCCGCGCTCGTCTCGCTCTTTGCTTGCTGTCCCAGCGTTCAATTATTCAAGCTGGCGCCGAAATCTTTTCTATCCGGATACAGCATAACTATCCGAAAATACATCATACACTATTCAACGTGATAGCACACCGCAGCTGCCTTGGCTACTTGGGTTACGAAGCGATCCGCACACGACGAGGCATCAACTCTGTCTAATTCCGCAGTCAATCAGACCTGATCGCGCGCATCGATGTGCTGTCGCGCAATGTGAACACGCCTGCCCGGTCTCTCAGCCCGTAATAGTGTGCAAAACTATTCGATGACACTATATCCATAATGATCTAATACTATAACGAGCTTGACTTACACTATATGATGGCATTATTAGCAACCCACGTGTCAGGGCGGCTTGACGGACCCTCGGACCGGCGAGACAATCACGATGGCCGGCTTTGCTTGGACAACAAGCAGCTTCCTACTGCTGCTGCTGGCGCATGCCATGGGCTACGAGCGCCACACGAACAACTGGGCCGTCATCGTACGTAGTCATCCAGCAGAGCGACACCATCGAGCACGTGCGTCCTAGGTCGACGCGTCGCGCTTCTGGTTCAACTACCGGCACATCACGAACGCTCTGTCGTTGTACCACTCGGTAAAGCGTCTAGGCATTCCCGACAGCCAGGTTCGTTGCGATCGTATGCCTCTATCTATACTCATCTCGTCTGCCTTAGATTGTGCTCATGCTCGCCGACCAAATGCCATGCAACGCCCGCAACTGCTACCCTGGCCACGTCTTCAACAGCAACAACCACGCTATCAATTTGTACTGTCTAGTTATGCCGCAACGACGGCATGACGCTCTGATAACGTAGGTACGGCGAAGATGTCGAGGTCGACTACCGCGGCGACGAAGTGAACGTGGCCAACTTCATCAAGGTTCTTACGGGCCGACACGAGCCGGGGACACCGGCCAACCGCCGCTTGGACTCGGATGAGAAGAGCAACGTGTTTGTTTTCATGACGGGCCACGGCGGCGACGGCTTTCTCAAGTTTCAGGACGTTGAGGAGCTCTCGAGCCATGACATTGCCGACTCGATCGAGGAAATGCACGTCAAAGGCCGGTGCGCATGGATCTGCCTCTTGAAAGAGCAGAGTCAACTGACGTTTGTAGATACAACGAGCTCTTCTTCATGGTGGACACGTGCCAAGCTGGGTCACTAGCCAAGCAGCTCTACTCGCCCAACGTCGTCACCATTGGTAGCGCCTCTACGGGCCAAAACTCGTACGCGTACCACACAGACTTTGACGTACAGCTTGATATCGTATTTCGATGGCATCATTGGCTTCGATAGATTGGTCTCTCGCTCATCGACCGCTTCACGTATGCGACGCTCGACTTTCTCCAAGCCCACGACACCACCAAGACGCTTGCTGATCTCTTTGGCTCGTACGACCCGCGCATGCTCTACTCGGACCCCGAAGCGCGAACTGAGCTTCTGCAGCGACCGTTGCACGAGGTCCCGGTTACAGACTTTCTCGGCTCGGTCCTTCACGTCGAGCTCGACGACGCGACGTATCCGCTGGCGCTACCCTCCACGGAACGCCCCGCCAAAGTTGCCAACTACTACGACCTGACATCCCCCGATGCCGCTGGTGATAGCAGCAAGCCCTTGGAGACGACGCCTGCGATGCACTTGGATCTCGATACCGTCGTCTGGACCTCGGCAGTCATCGGCGTTGCGGTCCTTCTGATTGCTTCGTCCGTGGTCCTTTAACGCGACAATATGACAGAGTGGCGCCAAAGCAATGCATTACAAATGACAAAAGAGAGCTACTTGGCTGCGGATGGGAGGAGCGTGAGCGGCTTCTGAAGCCAGAGCGGGAGATACGGCACGTACACCTCGAGTTTCTCCTTGTAGTAGACGGCGCCTGCGACCGCAAGGAGCGAAATTGTAACCGCGCAGCCGCCAATGATCCAGCGCTTCCGCCGCTTGGCTTGGCGTTTGTGGGCGGAGAAGGGCAGGGCACCTTGCCTAGGGGATGGTTATATGACGCAGATTCAGATTCAAGTCGCGTACGGGTGCAGCGCACGGTGGACGAGGAGCGAGTAGAGCGAGTGGTCGCCCTGGAGGCCCTGCAGAGTCTTGTCCGAGACGCTCAGTGGCGCAAAGAGCTCGAGCGATGCGCAGTGGGCGAGCGCCTTGTCCCACGCGATCGAGGACGTGAGTGTGGCCTCCATAAGGTCCGACTTGGTGCAGACAAACATGACGGGGATCGAGTCCGGTATGTGCTTCTCAATCGAGAGGAGGTAGTCGATCGAGTCAGCGTCGTTGCCGTCAAAGACGTAACACACAATGTCGACGTGGATCTCGCGCGCAATCTGCGACACCATGCGCGGCGAGACGTTGGCTTCCGACACCTCCGACATCTACAAGAGCATTTATCACGTGCAAACACACAGACTCGACGGCCGTACGATGAGGTACTTTTCGCCCGTCGCCTCCTTGTCGTTGACGACGTGCACGTTGTGCAGCAAGAACGGATAGACGTCCATGGGCCGAACACGCGCCCCGTTGGTGTCGTCGCTCTCTTCGCCATCGCCGTCTGTCTCCATGAGGTACCCGGGGCTCTCAAACGGCATCTGCACTAGCTTGTTGACGATCGTGGTCTATGATACCGCTATTATTGTCGCCTGCTCACAGTCCATGCAGTGTGTAGTGTGTACCTTGCCAGCGCGCGGGGCGCCAAAGAGAAGGCATCGAATTGTCTTCTTCGCACTCAGTCGGCGGGCCACAGATCGTCTACAAGCGAGTGTGAGGCGCGTTGATCGGCGCTACTTCATCGTACACTTCGACGGCCACGGGAGCTTTGTGGCTGAATCCGAGGTAGAAGAGTTGACTCAGCGTTTCTTTCGGGAAGATGGCCATCTCGAGACTAGCATGGTCGTGACGCAGAGTGCAGTTTGACGACAAGTACCTCCAGAGCGCCATCCAGGTCGATAGCTCGAGCGTTGTTGCGGCGGGCGTCGCCTTGAGGAACCACTGCGGCTGTTTCTCGGCGGGCACAATCTCGAAAATGGTCTGCAGCGACGCCCAGTGTAGCATGTGGTCCTCGGCGGCGAATTGCTCAAAGACGTTTTTGAGGAAGAGACACGCAGTGGGGCTCAAATCCACCATCGGATACTCGTGGCCCTCGCGCGGGATCTCAATGTAGTCGGACGGAATGTCGAGCGCAAGGTCGTCCGAGTAGCCGAGCGACCGCAGAACCTACCATTATTGTCTCAGCATCCAAAGGTCTCTCTGCGGCAGCGTACCTGCCAGCAGTGCTCGGGCTTGTTCTTCTCGATCGCGAGCTCCGAGAGGTACACGAAGCCTGCGAGGTAGATGCCCATCTTGTCCATCGCAACACCGTCGGGCTTGACGAGTTGGACAAGATCGAGTAGGATGTCGATCTCTTCTTGCTTCATACGCGCTCGAAAGAACGTCGCCTAGAGAGCGAGATGTGTCTTGCTCGACAGAATCGACTCGTACCTGGTAGCGATTGAGCTCCTCTCGGTTGATCATGCCATCGCGGTCTTCGTCAAAGAGCCGAAAGATGCGCTTGAGCACTTGGACAAACATCGGTTGCAATTGCTATCGGAAGTCAAAACGAGCAATAGGACGGCGACCGCCTACCTTCTTTTCCGCGTCGTAGAGGGGACCCATCGGATACAAGACAGCCTTTTGCGCGAGACCAAAAGTCTTCTTGACGTTCACGAGCGACTTGGCCGAGCACTCCAAGCTGTGCACAATAAACTTGTAGTTGCGCAAGACGGACTGGACGCGGGACATCTCCGAGCCGCCAGGCAGGAGGTCGCACTTGTTGCCAACGAGAACGACGGGCATGACCTTGGTCACCTTGAGCAAGTCGAGCCAATAGCTATCCCATGCCAACGGTGCTCAGAGACGACCATGGATGGCAATTATGCACCTTAGCCGTTGGGACGAGATAGGTCGGCTCACGTCGTAGACCACGATGGCAGCATCGCTGCGGTTGATCGTCTTGATGACTTCCATGACGTCGTTCGAGTTGGAGCTTGTGTCGTGAAGCGAGATGACGACGTTTTCGCGCGTATCTTCGGTTGGGATGACAATGTCGTGGAGCACGCGGGGCACATGCTCGCTCGAGTGCTGCGAGACGAGCGCCGAGATGAGCGACGACTTGCCGACCTTCTCGTCGCCCAAGACCATGAGGCGAATCGTGCGCTGCTTGGCCATGCTGGCGGCGCCCGCGGCCGGCTCGTCCAACACGGGCGAGGCCATGTCCGATGATTCCAAGCTTTGGCTGCCCCTAGCTGCGTATCCGGCTGCTGGCCGGGATCCATATCCGGATAAACCGTCTCGGGCGGTTAAATATGCCGATCAAAAGGGTAAACGCCACTTCAACGGGTTAAACGCGCAGACGGTCACCCGATTATTGCGACGCTTCTCGTAGAGCGAGACTGTCGGGCATTGATTGAGGCCGAGAGGCGGTTTGTTGCACGTGGGTGCTGTCTGTGATTGCAAGAATGAACCAAACTCGTGCACAAAAGCTGGCATCTAGCCATCTCTGCCGCCTTTTGACGAAGTCGAGGGTGATCCTTCACGAAGACTTGACGGAAAGTCCCCGGCGCCTTGTCGCACAACAGCCATCTCTTCTTCGCTGTTACTAGGCACGTTTGTTAGGCCCCGCAATTTATGCGCTACTCGTCCGCCATCAAGCTGGTAGACGATTACGCAAGGTGTCCTAAGACGCACTGGTAAAAAGGACGTTCGGGAAACGAGCCAATCAGAAGCGATAAAATAAAAATACGAAGATCTGGTGAGTGGCAATCCCGCGCAACCGTTGGCGAGGTCGGGCATTTCCGAACATGAAGTGCGAGCTGCAAGAGCCGTCGCCGCCCATGAGCTGGCGCAGCGTCGCGCTCTCCTTGGTCGTCGCCGACTTTACGGCCTTCCTCCTCCGCATCGCACTCGAGGTCTACCACTATACTGTCATGACCCTCGTGCACCCGTGGCTACTCGACGCTGCGACCTTTGTGCTTTTTTCGCCGTGCCCGTGACGCACATCCTCCAGCTTTCCGTACATGCGCGCATCAAGGACGACCAGCCCGTCGACGGCGCCTTCCGCGGCTACCATGTGGCCAGCTGGGTCATCTACGCCATCGCACTCGTGGGGTCCATGGCCGCGAGTCTCGAGCTGCGGACGCCGATTGTCATGAGCAGTCTCTCGATCACATGTCTCTGCTTCATCGCTGAGATGTTTATGGTGTCGTCGATCCTCGTGCTCGAGAAGGCCGAAAACGGCGCCGCACCGCTCTTCCTCCACCACTACATCCACTTGCTCGCGGTCGTCGGCGCGTGCATCTTGGCCATGGTCGCCGACGCGTCAATCGGCTCGCTATCATCCGACGCGTCGTTTGGCTCGCTGCTGTTGTGCGTTGCCGCAGTCACGAGTACGTACGGTCTCGGCGGTATCATTTCCAAGGACACGCCGGGCTGGCGCTTCTTCCAGCCATTCCGGGGCGGCGGTCGCTTCGTCCGCCTCCAGTTCATGGCCTGGACAACCTTTTCCATCTCACTGCTGCTGCAGACGCTCTTCCTCCTCTCGTTTCTCGTCATCGAGCTGGAAGTTGTCGTGGGTCTCATGGGCTACGCGGCAGCCTCGGCGCTCTTCTCGCAGCTGAGTATGATGGTGAGCCTCCACGTGTACCAAGGCCCCGAAGTCCCCGCCCCCGTGACGCCGTGTTCGCTCGACTTGGCCGTCACGACGCTCCTTTGCAACCTCACGCTTTTCGGGTACCTCCCGTTTACAATTCCGTTCATGTACTCGGACCTCTCGTGGCGCGCGGCAGCGGTCTACAGCGCGTCGTACATTGCGGGCACAACCATCATGGCGATCGCGATGCCGTCCATGACGGCGTACTACGACCGTGTCACTAGCAAACGCGCGTCGGCCAAGTACCATCCCAAGGTGTGGCTGTGCCCCATCTTCTTCTACAGTCTCCCGCTCGCGTCCATCCTCTACCACTACGTGCACGCGCTTCCTGCGCTCGCATCGACGATCGTCATGGGTGTCGCGTGGTACCTCTACTACATTGGCACGATGGTGGGCATGCCGGCGCAAACCGGCTGTCGCTTTCGCCGATCGTTTATCGCAACTGGAAACCCCGTCATGGAGGCGGTCGCGCGCTACTTTTCAGCGACAGTGCTAGCTTCGGGGCCATTGGACCCGTCGGCCACGTACGTATTTGGCTTCCACCCGCACGGCATCACGCCGCTCACGGTCATGTGGCTCCAGTTCTCGTCGTCGTGGCGAGCCTTGTACCCGAATGTGTTTGCGTGCCCGCTCTCGGCGTCCGTCGTGCACTACATTCCGCTCCTGCGCGATGCTATCCAGCTCTTTGGGGCGCGCGAGGTTTCCCGTAGGACGTTTGCCGCGTCGCTCGCGTCGCAGCAGTCGATCATGGTCGTGCCCGGCGGCCAAGCAGAGATGCTCCAGTCGCACTCGGGCATGCGCCAAGTGCGCGTGTACACGGGTCACCGCGGGTTTCTTCGGCTGGCGCTCGAGCACGGCACACCGCTGGTGCCCGTGCTCAGCTTCCAGGAAGGCGAGGTCCTCGACAACGTCCAGTACCCTGCGCTGCAGCAGTGGAGTGTGAAGAAATTCGCGGTCCCGTGCCCGTTCTTCCCGTACGGACGCTTTTACCTTCCGATCCCGCGGCGGGTGCCCATGACGGTGGCTGTCGGCGCACCGATTCCCGTCACCAAGTGCGATGCGCCGACGACCGACGACGTCCGTCGGCTCCACGAGGTTTACTTTACGGCGCTCCGAACGCTCTTCAATACGCACAAGGCGGCGGCGGGCTGCGACGACTTTGAGCTCGTGTACATTGAGCCCTCAAAACATGAATAACGAACGATATTGAATAGCAACTAGATCGAAATCAAAACTGGAGTCTCACTTGGCCGCACACTTCAACCATCGAGAGACACGTTAAAAACATTTTACCTGTCGCGTTTAATGCCAAACCCATCGACGTGCTTCAACGAGCTCTGCATTTCGACTCAGATCATGTCGAGCGGTTGTGGGCGCTGGCACCGGTACAAGCTCGCGACCACCGCGGTCGTCGCCTGGCTCCAGCGCACGAAGAAGGTCGCCAAGAAGGCCAACAAGAAGAAGAAGAAGACGGCAGCGGCTGCGGCAGATGAGGTCGAGTGGACGACGGCGCAGATCTGGGCCGCCGCACAGGACGTTGCGGCGAGCGCTACGCCTGTCCCGGTCGCCATCATGCGCCAGCTCAAGGCAAGTATCAAGCTGCGCTGGCAAGCGTGTAAGGCCTTCCCGCCGGACCAAGGCCACACGTACTTCCTGGACCTCCTGCGCGCAGTCAACGCAACGCTAGCGCCGCTTGTGCAGGAGACTGCGCCGCCGCCGCCGCCCAAGCACGAAGGGCAACTGCACAACACGTTCGAAGCGCTCGCGATCGACGACGAAAACGATGAGGACGAAGTGCCGGACGAGATGCTTCCGCCTTTTGATGCCAAGGCCTTTGCTCCCCGCGAGGCCAGCCCCGACGAAATTGCGGTCGCTGCGATCGAGGCGAGCCAGTTCCGCGCCATCTGCTTTCTTATGGATCTTGACGAGCTCCTTCGTGACGTGGACCAAGCATGGGCGAATCTAAAGGCGGGCACGTCAAGCTTGGTGGCGGCGACAGCCGTCACGAACGCCTGCGTCAAGCTCGTGAGCACGTGGTCGGCGACGCTGCACCTCGAGCTGCCGTACCTCGAGACGCTGGCCGAGATCTTTGCGCTCGTCGAGCGAGGTCCGTTTTTGCGCGAGATGATGGTGTCGCATGGCGCGTCACTCGCGACTGCCGTGCGCCTCGTCACGCTGGCCTGTCAGTCGCCCAAGCCAGCCACGAGCACGGCTACGATCTCACAGACCCTTCGCGTGCCACGCGAATCGGCGGCAACGCTCGAGCAAGCCATCGTGGCTGCGCACGAAGCCTCGATCGCGACACCCGACGAACGGCTTCCATACATTAAGAACCTCAAGATGCTGCAGCGCGCGCTGCCTCGGCTCGCGGGGCTTCTTGAAATCGTCAAAGGTCCGCGGTTTACCATGCCAAGTAACATGCGCACTGTGCCCTGGAACGAAGCGGCGGGCAAACTCTCGTCCATGAAGGAACTCGTGAACCCGCTCTTCTCGGAAATGCTGCCGCCCGTGCTCTTTGTTACCAAGGACAAGTGCCCCGAGATCGTGAGCGCCCACAAAGACTACATGCCGTGGCCCAACCTCGTCTTCGAATTTCAACAGACGAAGCGCGCAAGCATCCCATTTGTCTTTGCAACGGTCTGTCTCCTCGAGTCGATCATGGCCTCGCAAGGCCCCGAGAGGGACAATGTCACATGCGCCAAGCTCGCGGCCTCGACGAAAGCGAGCCTCAAGCGCGTGACGGAGCACGTACTCGCGTGTCGGAAGAACGCCACGGGCCTCATCCAGCCACCGCGGACGCTCAAGCTACTGCCAGAACACGTCCAGGGGATGCTGGGCATCATGCAGATTGTCAACAAGTGCCCGTACTTTACGCCGCTGGAGCTCGACCAAGGTTGGCTCAACCCTTGGATGGCTGGCCAGTGGATGCTCACGATGAGCTTGAGCTTCAGCCTCTCGTACGGAGTCGGCGTCATGGACGACGTGCAGCAAGGCCGGTTCGTGTTCCACCTCTACAACGCACTGCGCCTGCACGAGCGTATTGCGCCGATCCCGGTGCTGGACACGCTGGCCGCGCTACTAGAGAAAGGCCCGAGCATCTGGTACGGCGGGCGCCCGACAGAGAGCTTCCTCGTCTCGCGCATGCTATCTATGGGCTACAACCTCCAGCATGCGACATACTTTATGAACGCGAGCGACCCGGACGCGCGTGAGGCCAACGCCAAGCGCCTCGAGGCCTGGGACCGCCGAAGCAAGTTTGCCAAGGAGCACGGACGCGGCGTCAAGCACAGCCGCGAGGGCGACTACACGTACCCGTTCCACCTCAGCCGCACCTTTCGGCTCCTGACCGACATGGAGTCGCCCAAGATGCGCAAGTGCGGCCGACTCCCCGACATGGACGATCTCGCCGCCGTCGCCAACGAAGAGTGGAATGCGTTTTTGAACGTCGACTTTATCGCGCTCGGAACGCTTTTCCGCGAAGCGTGGGTGCACTGCGCCGAGTATTGCGACTGGGCCAGCGGCAACCCGCCAATGCCCGAGCTCGTCCCCACGCACGCGATATGGGGCAAGACCTTTGCGAGCCGTGACTGGCACAAAATGCAGGCATCGCTCGACATTCTCTTCCACATTTGCGACGGCGAGCTCAACGACATGCGACTCTTTGAGGCGGCGTGTGAGCTCACACTGCTCGGCCAGCGCCTTGGCGAAGCCTACATCGAGTTGCCCGCGCGCGCCAGCTAATGAGCTTTGGTATCTCGCGTCCACGCACATACACGTAATGTAATGCAACCCACCCTTGACGCCGAACGATGCGTTGGCCACGTACGAAACGGGTTTACGGCTGTCTACCGATTAAGAACTCGATACCGTCCAAGTCCATCAAATTGTCAAGTGGCTACTCCAATTCGAAAACTCCACCCTAGAAGAGACGAAGAGGCGGTGGCTTTGTAGCCGTCGACGCACCAACCACACTGTGCATAGCAAGTGGGGACACAAATCTATTCTTCATCAACGCTGCGGCGTTTGGAACATCCATCACATACGTCGGCGCGAAGGAGCACGCGGCAGGTAGGCTATCACTCGTCATGTGAGGTCAATGGTGGCGACACTGTCTTCTGATGGCGGTGTTGCGACGCTCGAATGAGCTCCTCCATGAGCATCAACTGTTCTTTTGTCGCTTGCAGAAACTATGGAATTGTGGTGATTCACCAGAATACCAGAAACATGTGGTGTACCACAATGTGGAGGAGCTCTTGGTGGGAAATGAGTCCGTCGTCGTTCTCGTCGACTGTCGAGAAGAGGTCGCGCGCAACGGCCACATCGATCGCATGATTTTTGGTCCCCAGCGCCGTCATAATCTTGAGCCACTCGTCAATGTCGATGTCCCCCGAGAGGTCTTTATCAAAGCGTTGCAACGTGTCTACGCCAACACGAGCAATGTCCCCATCGTATTGGATGGCTGGCGGGAGCATCGTACCGCCGAATTCAAGCACGTCTTTTGGCGAGTAGCGTGGTCCGAAGGGGTTGCCGCCGGCTTTGACAATGTCCATAACTGGTGTTCGCTCCGACGCTGGTGTCGCGACTCGGCGGCTCGTCGGAGTTGTCGCCGGTACCACGGCCTTAGTTCGCCGCTCGCCCATTCCTTGCAGCGTCTCGCAGAGCGTGAGCTTTCTCGAAATGTTTGCTTGGACGTGAGAGAGGTCGGTGGTCGACTGCGTCTGACGCTGGCCTAAGCTCGACTCGAGGCGCGCGTCGAGGGCGGCGACGGCTGGGTCGGTCCACTGCCGGGCGTTGCGTCGAGCTGGCGACGCTGGAGCCTTGACGACACTGGGCAGCACTGGTTGGTCAAGGAACCCGTCGAGCTTCCACTGCATTCGTTGCGGCAGTGATGTCGCCTTCTGGGTCTTTGGAACTGACAAGGGTGTCGTGGCGTGAGCTTTCTTTTTTGCTGTCAAGTGCGTCTGCAGAAAAGGCGATGGGTCCAACGGCATCTCGTGAGAGAAGCGCGTCATCTTGGCCTTGTGCACGCGGACTTCGCCAAGAAAGTTGTCGCACGTGCGCAGCATGGGGAGCTCGTCGACCGCGTCTGCGTCAAGCTTTGGCACTGCGTTCATCTCGAGCTGCCGACGCAGTTCTGCTTTTGTGAGCAAAAGCGGCGGAAACACGATCGAGTCGTACGTCTTGCGCGCGTGGTCGTCGTGGCTGAGGCACTCGAGGATAAACCCTTCGTCTTGCGTAAACGTGTTGGTTTTGATTCCCTCCGCGAGCGAGCGACCTAGTCTTTTGGCTATCACCGAAGTCAAGAGACGTCAACCCTGTCGTACGGGAGAAGGCAGTCTCGGCGGTTGCGTTCTGAATGACATGGGCCAATGCTGGGTCGTCCTCTTTCTCGACAATCGAGACCTTCCGGGACTTGGGCCGCAAGTCTAAAAGACTCGAGCACCGACGGTAGCTCTGCGTGCGCAGGTGCAATCCGTCGAGTAGGATACTCGAGCGATGGGTCGGCGGGTTATTACTCGTCACCGTCGCTGCATTCGCGCTATGCAGTAGCGTCAGATAGAGATATACGCACGCATCCACCTTAGCGACGCAACTTTGCGAAGGACATTCTTGGACATGGCCTGTACGGCGGCCGAGAGCTCCAAGGCTGACGAGGTTGGACTCAGGCGGTACTTCCACGGAATGCTCGCTTCGGAACTTCCGGTCTCGACGCCACTGCTGCGCTTGCGGTCGAGGACTCCGAGGCAATCGCCGTCGACGCTCCAGAGGCGCACGCCCGTGTCGTCTGCGGAAAACACAAACCTGGCGCTCATTTCAGTGCACATGCGCTAGAGCCTAACGTCGTACCCTGGGCTTGGGAGCGGCGCGATGTGGCAGATTTTGCTCGTATGCGCGACCCAGGTGGTCGGCGCCTTGATCTGGACAACGGCGGGACGGCCCATGATCGGCTTGTGGTGCGCCGTATGGTGGTGACCACCGCTGTTTGCGTCGGACGTGGCGACGCTCTGCGTGCGCTTCATTCGCAGGTTGGGGTTGTACCCACCGCGCGCGAACGCAATCATGTTGGCCGGCAGCGGCTCGAAGAAGAGTTTGGTGATGCCCTTGGCTTGCTTTCGCATAAGCTGAATCGGCCAGACGTGCAGGCGGCCGTGGTCATCCCCGGCCACAATCTGGTCGGCCGTTGCGCACAGCGTCGTGACGATCGGTGTCGATGGGTCAGAGGTTGTGAGAAAGGTCGTCGAGACGGGCACGACGAGGCGCATGACGCACTGCGACAAGGCCAAGACGTTGAGCAGCTGCCAGACGCAAACGTCGCCGGTCGCATCGGCGGCAAAGAGCACGCACGTCGCCGGGTGGAAGGCGAGCGCCGTGATCTCGCCGCCGTGGCCTTCGCACCGAAACGTCAGTGAGAGACGCTGAAAATCGTGCACGCGGATGTGGCCCTTGACGTCGCCCGTCACGATGAGTCCGTGCTCGCTCGAGTACGCGCACGCTGTCATGCCAGCACTACCATGCACTGAGGAACTTTGCTGCCCGGAGAATCGCACCGGTGGACGTTTCCGATCGTTCGGAGCGTATCCAGCCGTCCCTCACCTTTGACGTCGGAGGAAATTGCGAGGGTGTCGTCGCCACCGGCTGTGATGAGGCACTAGAGTAAGGGATGTCGTAGAAGCGACAGAGTATCCGCAGCGTACGTTGGTGTGCTCGCAATAGATCATGGCAAGCACGTCGCCGTTGTGCACCTTGATTTCCTACATCGTAGGCTCTTTATACTCAAAGTACACGCAGAGTGTTGCCGAACGCTCATGGGCTCGCCCGTAATGAGGTTGTACATGTGGATAGAGCCGTCCTAGGCGTAGCAAAGATGACGAGACGCCAGCGAGTAGACATAGCGCATACGCTGGTCGATACAAACAGCTTGCGCTGGCGCGGAAGGTCGTAGCAGAGACCACACACTTCGACGGACGCAACGTGGATCGGCTCTTGCTCAATGTGGCCGTCTTTGCCGCGCCAGACGGTGATTTTGCCGCCCACGGAGGCCGTGAACGTGTGTGCGAGGGCGTTGTAGAGCACGTGCTGCATGGGCGCTTGCGTCGACGAGACGGCTTCCGGTACGATGCGCACCACATCGACCGTGCCTAGTTATACCGCTTACAAACCCAGAGAGTCTTGCAGAGATGTGCACCGGTCCAGATCTCGCAGAGCTCGTTGCGCGGTTCCTGTTTGTGGTCGTGGGGAAGGACCGTAAAAGAGTGAAAGACGGGGGAGACACAGCCAGGAATGCCGACGCTAAACACGTGGAGCACGACCGCTGCACAGATCAATTCCGTGTAAATCACATGTGAATGGATACCGGCATCTTTGGAGGCGTCGACGATGCAGCGGGAGATGTCCCAGACCTTAAAGTTGCCGCCAACATCGCCCGTGGTACACAAAAGAGTGTTTAGGTTGAACCGAACGAGCTTGGCGTCCAGGAGCATCTCGTGGTGGCCAGTCAATAGCACCTGGACGACACCGTGACCATTCCTTCTTTGCCAGAAAGCATCGCAACGTACGAGTTGTTTGCGAGTGGCGAGACTCCACACGCGAGCGTGGTGCTCAAAGCCACATGAGACGAGGACGTTCCCAATGCAGTCCACGTGCAGCACGCCCTAGACGCTCCCTCATGACACCTTTCGCAGTTGACGGCGAGGCACCTGCGTGTGCCCTTCGAATGTGTAGACGATTCGCATCCGGTCCATCTCCCAGAGCGCCACGGTATGGTCGTAGGATGCGGTAAGGAACAGAGGCGCTCCTGGGACTTCGACAATGTCGGTGATGAGGTCGCTGTGGCCGTGTAGCCGGTGCTGGATCTTGCCTAAGTATCAGTGTATCAATCTGTCGGTGCCGCGGGTGCGTACCCGCGTCAAAGTTCCAGAGCACGGTATGTTTTGAGCTCGAGGTCATGCAGAGCTTGAGCGTCGCGCACCACTTGACCGTGCGCACCATGTGGTGGTTGGTGAACCGACCGCTCTGGACATACTGTCCTTTAACAGCGTTGACAATGTTCCAGAGCGTCAAGATCCGGTCCGAGCTCGAAATGACGTAGCAGTTGCGGGTCGGGATGTGCTCAATGTCGAGGATGTACAACCCGTCCTTCATGACGCTCGTCTTCATGACGTTGGTTATGTCGTGCAGAAACGTGCCGTCCATCTCGAAAATCTACTCGCCTCCGACCATGAGATAACGAGAGGTTTGAACTGTACGGCGATAAGGGGACTCTCTTGCTCGAGGATCGCAACCTTGCGCACATGCTCAAAGGCGCGCATCTTGGTAATATGGTATGGAAACGGTCTATCCGCAAGACTACGAAACGATGCCAAAAGCAAGCAAGTACCGCGTCGTGTGCGCGGTGCGAATTTGCTTGAAGATGTATTCGACGCCCGAGACGTCCGACGAGTCGTGTGACTGCTTTGTCGAGAGCATGCCCAATGCTGCGCAAAACGTCGTGAACTCTTCCCAGTCCACTTTCTCGTCCCCGTTGATATCTAGGGGTGGGGTTACCATAGGAATGAAATTCTCCCGAAAGGTACCAATTTGATCAAACATTTCACAGAGCAATCGCAGAAGGGCTGTCGCCCGCTTCTCCGTGCGTAGCTCGGGGCGGTACTTGATAATACCAAAGGCCAAGCATTCTGCAAACGCAGATTTTGGCAAGCCCTTGCCGTTCTTGCGAAAGAGCTCCTCGAGCTCCAAAAACTCGATGCGCGTCAGCGTCGAGCAGATGCCTCGAATCGTCTTGAGCGACGTGACGTTGGGAATGTCAATGTCCGGAATGATGTCGAGGAGGAAGAGCTGCATGGCGCGCGTGAGGCCCACGATGCAGTGGCTGCTGCATTGCACCGCTTCGTTGATCGGGTCCAAGAGCCACGTGTGGCGTTGGTGATTGTTTCGGTAGATCTTGGCCACGACAAAGGCATTTTGCACGAGAATTGGCGACGACGCTGACGCCGAGTGGGTGCCGACGCAGACGACGTCGCTGCCGGTCGCGGAAAAGTCCACAAACGCGTCGCTTATGTCGGACGACAGTAGCGAGCAGTGGATGACGCAGTCGTCGAGAACCTTGTGCGGATCAAACACGACGTCGTGGCCGTGGGAGAGGATGATGCCTAGATTTTCGAATGAGTCGTTGGCGAGTGAACGGTCGGGCACCAATCACATCCACGCCAAGGTGCACCTTGGCCAGTGATATCACCATCTTCTGGTGGTAGCCGTGCTGATTGCGGGGCGCTTGCACGATCGAGCCGTCTCGTAGTGACCCGTTCACCGGCACGTGGTCAACGAGCTCCCCCTGCATAGGATATGGCAATTCGTACGTGAGTAGCCCTGGAGCGCTACCTGCGCGTTGAAGAGCAGACAGTATAGGTCGACGGAGGCTGCAGCATGCGCCTTTCTTGTCTCTATATAGAGCGTTGGGTGTGCATCGGTGATCGGCCGCTTGAGCCGCTCCGCCGTCCCGTCCTCGTCGTCCGCAGTCATGAAACGGCCGTGTGAGGGCCCATGGAATGCACCGATTTCACCTCGCAATCCAATACAACAACCTAGATAAAACAGTGAAGAATGCATTTCTCACATGTGTAGATCGCGTGGAAAATTGTGGCAGTTGGTTTCGTGTCCCTTCAGCGATGGCGACGTCGCCGACCAAGCCGGCCGGCGGCAGCGAGAAGCCGACCGAGAAGCCACCAGAGAAACCCAAGCTTGTACAGTCGACGACGCCGGCGTTGGATGTCGAGACACACCCGTTGCTCGCGAACCTCAAGCTCGACGGAAAGGAGACCGGCGCCTACATGCTCTGCAAGTTTGCAGACGACGTGCTCGGGCACCGCGCACGCCAGATCTTTCGCGAGAAAGCGTCGTCAATCAAGGGTGAAAACGGAATCTACTACTACCTCAAGGACCTCTTCAAGACCTTCTCAATGGACGAACTGCCATCGTCGGCCAAACCCGCCAAGTCGATGCGCTCCCTCATGGCACCCAAGCCGCCACCGCGAACCGCGGCTGATTACTTCCTCGAGGAGCACCAGTTCCGGAAGCTCATGGCGAGCGACCCGGCGTTCGAGTGTCTGGTAGCGCAGGAAGACACGTCGATCCTCTTTCAGCGCATACTCAACAGCGCGAGCCGCACCAAAGTGTCGCTCTTGGACTTTCTCGAGTTCTGCCTCTTGAACCGCGTGCAACTGTACGTATTACACACTATTGTCTCTGCTGTGACGGCAACTAGGCTCGTGCTCCTCTGCAAGTACTGGCACGCACTTCGGAAACTCAAGCTCTCGGATAACGAGCTCCTCGAGATGTACCGCCGCATGACCGATATCCACAACGACAGCTGCTTGGCGCCAAATTTGTTTGGGAATGCGATCGGGCGCGAGTTTGACATCGTGCTCACGACGGGGGTACGTTGTAATAACGCCGAGCAACCTACTGGATGTTGGGGTTAGGAAATCGATGTGCTTTTGCACCTCTTGGACTACGACAACGATGGCGTTGTCAAGCCCACGGACTTTGAAATGTTTTACAAGGATACGGATCGCTTTCACTCGCCGACATTTGAAGAGCTGCCTGCGATCTCCGACCTGCGGGTACGCCACGTCGTGCCCACAAAACGAACTATTCCACGCCTTAGTACTCAACGTCGGACGAAGAGGCGGCCGAGTTCAAGCGCGAAGGCTACGAGGTCTACCCGCGCAACGTTTGGACATCGCACTCGAATGGTCATTTGTACTTTTGGACCAAGCGCGACCCCACCAAAGTCCCGATTGAAGCGATTGCGTACTCGGCGTCGAACCAGGACAAGGACCTCATGGGCCGAGGCTACGTCTGCTTCAATGGCGCCAAGCCTTTCTACCGCAAGTTTATGTACCTCAAGTTTGCGCCGTGTAAACCAACGGGCGCGCATCAAACCCCGGCACTGGTCGACTTGTGCGTCACGGGGGGTACGGTGTTTTGATATATATGGATATTTTTACAGATGGGAGTAGGACATCTCGTGGACGACCAATCGGCGACGCTGTGGATGCCTCCATGCCGCGGCTTCAAGCGCATCGAGGGCTCGCTCGACCAAAAGATTACAAAGCGCGGGGTCTTTTTGTGGACCCGGTACGACTGTCAAAACTACTGGGCAATTTGAATGCTTGCGGGTAGCGCGGTGTACCCAGTGTCCGACGTCGTTGTGCACGCACCGGTGCTGTCACCGACGACAGGCGCCGCGACGAGTGCGATTCCGATCGAAGAGATCGACGCCCTCGAGCACCAGATCCGCACCACTGTGCGCCGGCGTTGTCCCACGGACGCCGACGGCGTCTTGAATTTTCTCAAGCTCTTTCAAGCCTTTGACGTCAAGAACCGCAAGTACTTGACGATCGCCAAGGTGAAAGCCGGTCTCGTCGGTCTTGGTTGCCGGCTCGACCCCAAGGTGCGTCGGTCGTTTGTGCGATGTAGTTTTCTCATCGTCTCCATGGAAGCGGTTCCAAGAGGTCTGGAAACGCATCGACATTGAGGGCAAAAAGAAAATCGACTACGACACTCTGCTGCTCTTTGTGCTCTGGACCGACACGGATGTGTACGTAGAGACAAGTCCGGAGGCATATCAATACAGTGTACGGCTAGCGACGCGATCGCAGAGCGGCTGCAGCGATCGCTCACGAGCGCATCCTCCAACTACCGCGTCGTCTTTACCGCGCACAACGCGATTGGCGACGGTCGGTGGGCACGTGGGGACTTCTTGCGCCTCTTGAGCGCCCAACAAATTCTCGTCGCGCCAGAAGTAGACACATTGATCCTTGGATCAGCCGAGTGCGATACATTGCGTTAGGAACTCGCCAAGATCATGGCGCGCTTCGACGTCAACAAGGACGGCGTTGTCGACTATGCAGACTTTCTCAAATTTGTCACTGGCGTTTGCGACATCCAGGCGCGGCAGGCCGCACGCATCGCCCAAGCCGCGAGCGTTCTCCAAGGTGCGGATGGCTTTCGTGACGCACCTACACTCTGTACCTGTGTAGGCTGGGCGATCGAGCATCAAAACACCAAGCTCGTCAAAGATGGCAACATCGACTCGAGCGCGTCGTGGAAGCGCATCAAGTCACATGACAATATCCTCCGCGTACCCATGATTGACAAGGTGCTACCGCTATTTTCAAGAATTCCGAAGCTCATTGCACTCTAGATTTTACGCCAGCACAAGGTGCGGCTGAGCCCGCTCGAGCTCCGCCAGCTATGCATTGTCATCTCGCCCAACCCGCCCCCTGGCGCTGTGCCTGGCCAGATCACGCAGGCTGCGTACCATGCCTTTGTCAACCACAATCCAAAGAAAATGTAAGAACTCATTACTCGCAGCACGACCAGGCGGTCATTTGAGGTAGCTCGTCGCTGCTGCTGGCGGGCAAGAAGCTCGTGGGGCCGCACCCGACGACAGACATTGACCCGGTCTACAACCGCCTCAACAGTCTCGGGACAGGGTCTGCGTCGCTGCCCGCGTTGCACAACCATCTCTCGGAGCTCGCGGACCGAAGCAAGCATCCCGTGCATTGACATTAAAGTGCGTGTACCGCTCGTAAGCGATTGCATCCCAACGCCACGTCTCTGTAGGATTTTGTGTACTTGGTCCAGCACACGGGTGCGGATTGCGGCGGTGATGGACGCGTCGTCATCGGACCGGTTTTTGGCTGCGTTGCGGGACGTGGCCGAGCGCCGCAACATGAAGCACGGCTTCATCACGCCGTACGACAGCCCCGGCTTTGCGAAAGGCTGCTACATGCTTCTCGGCGAGCTCCGTCGCTGCGCCAAGACGCTGGACGGAAAGTTCGACTACCGCGTGCCGTTTGAACTCTTTGACACGGATAAGACGGGCTCCATCAGCATGCCATCCCTCGAAGCGACGCTTCTCGACATGGATTTGGGAAGCTTCCTCAGCCCAAGTGTTCGCTCTCTCCATTGCATTCCTATCCCACGACATCATCATCATGCTGTACAAATAGGAAATCAAGAGCTTGCTGCGGCGGTTCGAGCTCGACCACAACGGCGGTGTTAGCTACGACGAATTCTGTCGATTCGCGACGACCAGCGACGAGAGCCACCACTTATTGTCGCATTGGAACGACCCCAAGCTCGTCACGTGCATGAAGGAAGCGTTTGCGACGACGCTGCCGGCGGCGGGCGCCGAGACCTTTGCGTCCGTCTTCAAGCGCATGTGCTTGATTGCCGACAAGGCAAACACGGGCATGCTGTCAGCGACCAAGTTTGGGCAGCTGTTTGATGCGCTCGACCTGCAGCTGCCGCGCAAGTCCAAAAAGGTACAACGAACAGGTGGATCCTCTGAGCCCTTTTCCGAGAGCTGGATTCTAGGACCGACCGTTCTTGCTCGATGCGCTTGTGCAGTACGCACAGTCGGAAGACGCGATCCCGTACGATACGTTTTGCCAAGTGTTTCTCGCTTGCATGCTGCCGACGGCGAATTTGTCCGGCGAAGACACTGCGACCAGCGTCAACCCAGCCCTCGCGCTCGAGCTCCACGCAGAGATTCAAAAGGCCGAAGACAAAGCCGGCGCGCGCTTTGACTTTAAAACTGCCTGCGAGCACTACAAGAATAAGCTCAGCGCGAGCGACTTCAAGGAACTTCTCTGGACCGCCGGTGTCCGACACCCGTTTTCCCCCGACGTTGGTGCTGAGATAGAAGGCAGCGTCTGACGATATTCGTAGGAGGTCTCGGCGCTGCACCGGTACTTTGTGGCACCAACGACGCAGCAGTGGGACTCGAACGTCTTTCTTGACTTTGTTGTGCGCGGGCCCAAAGTCTTCGAGTCGGGCGAAAGTCGGGGCAAGGTCGACGCTGTGATTGCGCAAATGCAGCAAAGCATCTTGGACACCGTGGCGAACGAGAAGGATGCCGACCGCTTCCGTCGCCTCTTCCTCGGTACGATCTTGCCATGTACGATGTGCTATGCTTGATAAATACTATGCCAGAGTACGACGTGAATCAAGACGGGTCCATCTCCACCGACGAGTTTCTCCTCGTGCTCGACGAAATGGGCCTCTCCAAAGGGCTCACAGCCGCGGAAAAGTCGTCGATTCTGCATTTCTTCGACTCGAACCAAGACAACGACATCGACTATCTCGAGTTCTTTCACTTTGCAACCAACGCCGACAAGATCCTACAGACAAAGGTCGACCCGACCAAAGCGCCGCCGCCCCAAGCTACGCCTCCCGCACCGACCAGTGGAGGAAATGGCTCGCCGAGCAAACCGCCGAGTCCAGCAGCCAAAGCCTCGTCTGCAAAACCACCTGCGTCGCCGACCAAAGACCAAATGCAAGCGCTCCAAAACCAAGGGTCGGTGGTGCCATAGAACAGATCACAACTCATGGCGCGTGCTTTAGGGCCTTTACACGCCTGGGCAAGCAGCTCGTGCGCGTGGCGATCTTTGACCAGCTGCTTCCGCGGCCGTTTGTCTTTGCAAAGTACTTTGTCAAGTACAAGTCTGGAGACGGCGTCACGGCGTCCAAGTTTTCTCAGATTCTAGACAAGTTTCTAGACACGGTGTTGCGTCAGGACCGTCACGCGGCCGTCGCCGGCATCGACGGGGACGTCATCCGCGACCACTACGTCGTCCAGGAGACGGGCATCGTCAAGACATCGCTCTTCTTGCGCGATCTGGCGACCGCTCAGCTCCTCGCACTGGACAAGGCCAACGTCGCCGCTGTGCGCCGCGACGACGACGACGACGACGAGTTGTCGCTCAGTGACGGTTCGTCCCACGCAAGTCAAAGTGACGATAGCAGCAGTTGTGCGAGCGGACGTAGCGCAAGTCCACGTCGCCGGTCGTCGCCGGGGAAGATCATGTCCATGGACGCCGTCTTGGACCGTGTGCTTCTCACGGCGGGGTGGTCGTCGTCCAAATGCCACAGGTGCGACACCAAGCTTGCGGAAGCCAACACGCGGCTTCCGTGGCGCCCCAAAGCCTTTGCGCAGTTCCTCTTGGGGCTTAAATTACCATGGAAAAAGTCGGATCTGGACGCGATCACAGCAGCGTGCAAGACAAAGCACCATCGCGTCGACGCAACTGCGTTCGTTCATGCTATGGAGGCGGCCCTCGATCGCTACGGTGGGGCCTCGCCACTCGAAACGTCGCGCTTCGCCACATCGGGGCCATCGACTTTGTCGCTGCCGAGTCTTATGGGGCGTCTCTATCAAAGCTTTTTGAGTGCTGCTCAGCGCAACATCAACGGGCTCTCGCTCCTCGAGAAGTGTGACGTACACCATCGCGGCCACATTGAGTGGGGCGAGTTCAGCACCGTGCTTCGGCTCATCGAGTGCCCTCTCGACCCCTCGGAGCTCCAAGCGCTCCAACACGCGCTTCGATCGAAAGCGCAGTGTCCGTATCGCGCGTTTGCAACACTTCTCGAGACATACGCACCGCCCGTCGCTCCTCCGGTCGTCGAGCACGCGCCGCCTCGATCCTTTGTTCCCGTCGTCGCACCCCATGGCATGATGATGGCGCCGCGAGCGCTCCCGCCGAGTCCGCGGTCGCTACAGCAGATCGAAGACGACCTGCGCTCCTTCTTTGTACAGCAAGTACATGTCGACAGGACGCGCTTCATGACGCTCTGTCAGCAGTACGACGGTCAGCGCACGGGCTTTGTCACCCTCGACGGGTTCTTCGCAGCCTTGCGCCAGCTCAACATGCCTGTGGGCCCCGATGTCATGGCGCAAGTCAGTGCACGGTTTGCGGCCACGTTCTCGGACCGCATCGACTATGTTGAGTTTGGTCAAGTTGTCTTTCGTGACACGCGGTGCGTCAAACGACTTGATTTAGTGCCTTGGCCACGAGGACGCTGTGATAGACCACCAATGTCGCGACTCATTGAGCGCAACCCGACGCAGCCATCGCTGTACCGAGAAGACGCGCCAGTCCTCACAGCGCGCACGGTCGAGACGTGGCTCAAAGAAGCCGCCACGGAAGACGAGAAGGCGCATTTCAACCAAATGTACAATTCGATCTTCGCCTTCAAAAAGCACGCGGCCCCCGTGGTAGAGACATCGCACCTGCGAACAATGCAAAAAGATGAGGTAGGCGCCAACGCCGCGCCGCGCGCCGCCACCCAAAGCTGGCAGTTGGAGCTGCCCCGTGTGCTTCCACAGCCAGAGCCCGACGCTCGACCGCTGCGAGGTGTGCGCTGCGAAAAACACATCGGCGTCGGCAGCGCCATCGAGCGAATTTGAAGTCGTGCTGCAGTGTCCCGTCTGCGCGTTCCGGAACAAGCCACCGCGACCGCCTGTGCGCTCTGCATGACGTCTCTGCAAGGCGAGAAAACGTCGTCGACGACGGTGCCCACCCCGTCGCTGCAGATCTCGTCGACAAACGACGGCTGGCTCACATAGCCTCCACAGTATACATAGCCGACTCTCAGGATGTACAAGAGAGGGTATTCATTTCAAGGAGAAGCGTCCAATCCGTCAGAATGACTCTTGCGTGTCTCTACTCGCGTGTGGGCGGCAGCGTCGTCGTGATAATGTTGTTGGTCGCAAAGACGTTGGTCGGATCCACAGCAGCCTTGAGGCCGTGGATCGCACTCAGCGCCGGCGCCGAGAGCACCTGCGGCAGCCACTGCTTGCGGTGCTTGCCAATGCCGTGGTGGTGGCTCAGCGCCGCGCCGTTGCGCATCATGACCTAGTACGTCAACCAATGAAAACAAAGAGGCATGAAAAGCGATCGTACGTCGACGCACGACTGCTCAATCGTGTGGAAAAGCTTGAGCGGCTCCTTGACGCCGAAAAAGTTGACGCCGTAGTAGACGTAGAGGCAGACGCCGGTCTCGTAGACCTGCGAGATGCGGCACATGACGACGTGCTTGTTGGGTACGCCGTGGCCAGCGCAGACAAGACCAATTTCCTAGTTATAATGTGTCAAGAGGTGAGGCGATGACGCGCCGTACGTCGTTGATGTCGGCGATGAGCTGCTTGACGTTTGTCCACGGCACCGCCGTCTCGAACGAGTCGGTCAAAAAGTAAAAGTCCATCACAAAGTCGCGAATGTACGCTACACAAATGGAATCGCCCAGAGATTCGTTGCGAGCACGACGTACCAATGACATAAGTGAGGAAGTACCCACGCTTGCCGTTCTCGGCACCGCCAATCATACCCCCGTGCTTGGCCGCAATGGCGTGGATCTGACGCTGGTACCGCTCCGTCTGCTCTTTCGTGCCCTCGAACAAGATGGTCGCCGCACACATCGAGTTGACGTCAAAGCCCTTGATCTATCATGCCAGCAAATAAGTTCGTATTCCGTAATGGATGACGCACCTTGGTCACGTACGCCTTGGTCGCGAGCGAAATCAGGTGTGCCGTCATGGGGTGGCTCGAGGCCGGCTTGAGCGCTTGGCCCAGTTGAAACTAGAACGACGCAGCGTGAGAGGAGCAGCGTTCCGTCATCGAATGGACGTACTTGGGTGTTGTCGAGAAGGCGCAGCGACGCAGGGATGCAGCCTTCGCGCGTGATGTCGTGGAGCGCAGCGATACCGTCGCCCAAAGTCGGGAACAGGATCGAGTCGTACAGCTGCACTTCGGGCAGCGGGCGCACACGAAACATGACCCGGGTCACAACGCCGAAAAGGCCCTCCGAGCCTAGCACCGGACGCCCGCATATGTATCAATCGCGCATACAGCAATGGGTACCGAGGGCCATTTGCAGCATGTCAGGACCCATCGAAACCCGGGGCACGTTGCACGACTTGGTCAGCGTGCCTTGCGGCGTCACCTACTCCGCGCGTCAATGTAGAGTTCATGAATGATATCTGACCATGGTGAGGTTGATGAGCATGTCTTCAATGTTGCCGTACGTGTTCTTCTTCATACCCGACGCCCGCGTCGCGACCTGCATGGCGTTCAAATTGGATCAAAGTAAAGCGTTGTGTCGTACCCAGCCGCCGACGGTCGAAAACTCCCACGAGTCGGGCTCGTGCCCGAGCGTGACGCCCTTGTTCTTGAGCTTGTTGTGCAGGTCGAGGCCGGAGATACCAGCCTCGATGACCGCCGTCATGTTTTCCTTGTCGACGCTCAAGATCGCCGTCATCTTGCGCATGTCGAGCGACACAATCATACGACGTTCGTGCTCGCTGCACGTGAGCGCGTTCGAGACACTACATGCCTCGTGAGCTCGTCAGCTCGAATGAACCGAACGTACTTGGTGCCGCCGCCGTACGGGATGATGACCACGTTGTGTTGGACGGCCGCCGTGACGACCGCTTGCACCTGCTCGTGCGTCAAGGGGCAAATGACTGCGTCCGGCACACGATCAAATTCCGTGCACGTCCGGATGCGAAAGATCTCCTACGCCAGCAGTGACACTCGTGCCTTTAGATATGGACGCGTACGCCGCAGGTCTGGCCGTGCGAGTGGCGCACACGCGTGACCGGGTCGAGGTCGACGGGCAGCGCGAGCGACGCCATCTCGGCCAAGAAGCCTTCGTGCATGACTTCGCTGCCTGCCTTGATCTTGGGCGGCGTGGCGTTGAGCGTAATGCGGCGGTTGACGTCCAAGCCGACCTTGGACTCGGCCCACGCGCGTACGCCTGGCAAGACGCGCTCTGCGGGAAACACTTCTTCGTACCTACGCACGCTTGAAGCTGTCGTCGCACATGGTGGCGAGCGTACCGCGTCCCGGCAAACTCGACGACGCCTTGCGGGTTGAGAAAGATGTTGGTGTCTTCGTAGCCCCAGCCATCCCAGCGAGTCTTGGCACTGGCCACTGGCGCCGTCGTCTCGCGGACGTGGCTCAGGACCGACTGCAGGCGCTTCAACGACGCTCCTCCGTCCGCTCCAGACATGTTGCCTTTTTCGATTATGCACCTAAAGCAATTCGTAACAGTCTCTGTATCCGGACCATCCGGATAAATGAGCGTGGGCCTGCCCACAGAGTGATACAACTAGTACGTGGCAGCGAGTGCGGCTAAGGTTGTTGTGGTGGGGTCTAAGCTGCACGGAGAGCGATCATCGGCGAACAGCACCGAGCAAAAGGCGGTCAAGGCGACGCGCCATGAACAAGCCCTCTCGGGTTGTGGGCATAGATACTGCAGTGTCGTCCCTTGCAATCCTTGGCAGTAACAAAATCTGGCTGCAAACACAGTCGCCCGGATTGCGCTAGGAAGACGTCGGGAAACATATTGGTCTCGTACGAGCATCGGTTTGATTATCCTCGTCATTAAATGCATGCACATGTCCATTTTTGTCCGTCGTCAGCGAAAGCAGCAGATAGGAAACCAATTGGCAACAAGCTCGAAGACAAGGGGGCGCAGGAGCACCACCGGTAGTACAGAGGGCGAAGGAAATGAAAAGCAAGAAAGAAAGCAAAGTGCACACGCGACAAGGGAGATGCATGAAGAGGGTGATGCTCTAGAAGTATATAAATGTTGCCACAAAACAATAATGATGTCGCTCCCTGGAATCCGCCAGCAATGTACTGTACTGTACTACAATACATGGCAGCGTGCGGAAAAGAAAGCAACCGCGAGCCGACGAGCGACGAAGTCGGCGATCTACGAGCTTCTCGCGGTGTTCTTTTGGCAATGGACTCGTAGGGGTATGCATCAACACAAAACGACGATTGCAGATTCATCATCGTATATCGTGAAGTACAAAGCGAAGCACTGTGGTAGCACAGACGTAGTGACTTCCTCGCAAATTACGTAGTACAGTTCCGGTACGGTGTACTAGTAACATGCTTAGTAGCTGACCTTCAGGTCGCTGGTGCACGTCGTGGTCGTTTTGTGAAATGAAGCGACGAATAGCGCGACGAACTTCAAGATATTGATGACACGGTCCTACCTCGCCCGCGAACAGTCAATACGACAACTAGACCAGCCGTACATCGTGACCAAGCCTAATGAAGAAGATTTCCCGACTTTGTTGCAGTTTGTGAAAACGACGGCATTTTTTGTTGAAAAGTTGCATCTGAAAAGGCCCTCTGACCGCCTTGCGTACGTAGTATGGTGCAATGTGGGTATTCGAAAGGAAAGACACCGAGGGGTATCGTCGTGTCCCCTGGCTCCAGCCTGGACACTGTCATGTCATCGCTGGAGGGGACGTCGAGTCCAACCGCACACGATGAAATCATCACTGATGGCATGCAAACGATTGATTGCTCTGATTCGAAGCCTGGATAGAAACCTTGTTGCCAAGTAGAAGCTTCAGTAGGGACAACCGACAGGCGACTACTCAGACCTATACTGCGTTAGAGACTCGCGCGACGCGACCAAGGAGACTCACTCTCGAGGTGTTAACTGCTACTGTGATGGTTCATAAGCAGGGAACGAGGCACGCTGCAAGGGTTGATGGATGACTCAAGAACGAACGATGCAGCCACGGTACGTCTCGTGGTCGCACACAAACATATCGGTGCCAGCCCATGGTACCAGCGCATCGGGGGATAAATGTGTATTTGAATCCAGAGCAGCTGCGATAGGTGTCGTCGCGAAGTACTACGTAGTAGCTCCGATCAGATACCATGAGTCAAATTGCCGTTCGAGTATCTGAGTCTGTGAATTTGAGACGATTGCTCCGCTGTCGACGCCGACGTGCCGTGCAAGTACGCCCTGAAAGACTTTGTCCTAAGCATGGGAAAAGTAATATCAGACGTGTAAAGATTCCCTTTGTACCCCGTCGACGGGTGAAAACAACGGAGAAGCTTGTGGGGATGGGCCAGCCAGCGTTGGTGTCGTGCGTCATATTCTTGGAGCGAATATTTCGTGTACCCATCCATGGCAGCGATCCTTCATCTTCAACGTCCGTCGCATCGACCCATGTGCCACGAGCTTTTCGCTCTAATGCAACGTCTTGGCGAGCTCCATGATGCGGCAGACAGGCCACAATGAGGGCGACACTGAGCAGACGCGTTGTGTTGACGCCAAGCACGCTAAAAAGACGTGATCGTGATGCTACAGACAGACGTGAGCGATATATGTGCTGCATGTGCCACATGTCTGCCTTCACGACGCGACTCGTTGAAGCCGCGTCGTGAAGCGCCAGATCTCAGTCTGGCGTGCTTCGCACCCGGAATATTGGCGTCAAAAGTGGCAAGATTCCAGTGCTGTACCGGTACATTAAACTCAAAATGCTTGAACGAGAATCAAGTACGTTGTAGTGGGGTCGCCAAAAAAGCATTCATGAAGCCGGGGATAAGAACCGGGCGGGATCAGACACGGGCCACGGAACTCCGCATCAGATGGGCATCAGACGCCGGGTTCTCTATTTTAATGTATCTTAGACTGCTGCAATGACGGAATGTAGCCGACGTTGGCACGGTTTTTCCCTCATTGCAATGAAGTCTAGAACGTACGTGATTGTAAAGCTGGATTGTAGCACCCACCACCAATTGGGACGGCGGCCGCAAGCAGCCATCGTTTTGGACCACCCCCCCTCCACCATCGCTTAACGAGTACTTCCGAAGCGACCAGTGGTTTCACACCTTGCACGTTAGATTGCATACAACGACTCTAGCTGCGTTTGTAAGACCCATGTAGCATTTGCGCCCGTGCAAGGATATATTGGAAGGTCCTCTAAAAACCCAGCGAAGGGGGTGGGCCCGATTACCCAGGATCAGATTCGCTGGCAACCGGGTGTATCCGGACAGATGCGACGGAAGCGATGGTGTCATTTTCAGAAAGTTTGGCTCCTCATGGCAGTCGAAGGCAGCCGCGGCAAGTGCCTCTACAAGACGGGCAAGTGCGAGAACGAGCGCGCGCTCAAGACCAACGGCCAGCCCCACAACCTCTGTGACATGCATCGCCTGCGCCAAAACCAGAACCAGCGCAAACTCGACGGGAAGAACCGCCACAACCGCACCCAGTCGGCGACGTCGTCGTCGGTCTACTACGCATCGTCGCCGAGCACCGCCAGCTTCCCGTCACCGTCGTCGCACGACTACTCGTATGCGCACTCGTCGCTGCCCGCTTTGCCGTACCCGCCGTCGCCGCTCTACCCGACCAAGCCCGACACTGCCGCTCTGCTCGACGATGACATTACAGTGCGAACACCTTCGTATCTCAAAGGCGAGGCCCGCGAAGCGTTCCGATCGCGCGTGCTTCAAAAGCTAGTCAACATCATCTCGGAAGAGGTGCTCACGTCGCCGCCATACCCCAACTATGACGGCCCCAGAACTACGTACGGCGCCAGTACCAGCAGCTACGCACCGCCAACCATGATGTACCACGACCGAGCGACGTCGTACATGCCACCAGCTATGTACCCGCCGCCGCCCATGTATATGGAGTCGCGGCCGTACGGCGCATCGCTTTTTCCCTCCAAGCTACCAGCGCCCACGAGCCTGCCGCCGCTAACGCAGTGCATTGCAAAAGACAAGGCCGGGACGTCGCCCGTGCACGAGTAGCCGCTAGCTCTAACTTATTCCAGTGGAGTGGCGCCGGTCTAAAAAGCCATTTCCAACCACGAAGACTCCTTGACAACTCTGCGCAGTGTATAGTAACGTGAGTCTGCAGTTCCCAGTTCCACTCGTATCGTCTTTGTCGAGCACTGCATGACACGCAGAGCTCTCCGCCAACAGACAAGGCCGACACAGTCCATTAAAACATCGACGCGTGTACCCATATCAAACGCGATGCTGGTGAGTTACACGCCGGGGCCTGTCTGGTCCATTCGTCTCGTTCTCAGAGATGAGAATTCTGAGTACGCGCTGCCCTTTGCGGCGGTGGTGAATCTGATCTGCTGCCAGCTGGTCCACGTCTCGTGTTGGGCATTGCGCGCCGCCACAGCACACACACTTGCCGCCACAGAATCAGCGTGCTACACGCAAATGAGTCCCCGCGATAGGCCAGGGGGTAGTCGCGCCATAATACCATCGTCTGGTTTGGGTCGCAAATTCGCACCTTTACACAAGTGTCCTTTCTTTCGATTTTGATTTGGTTTGCACCGTCGCTGGCATGGGCGTAAAGCCGTAAAGCTGCCACGTGCACGCGACGAGGTGTTACTCATGTTATTGATGCAGCATGCCAAGCGGAACGCAATCAGAGTGCAAGGAAGAGCGATGCGAACCCCGACCACCCAAGTGACTAGCTCTGTAATTTCTTCCTACTAACGGTACGGTACACCTACGAATACTAGTCGGCAGTACATGTATTAGACTGTACAGAGCGTGAACAGCGCGTCCCAGGCATCAGATACAGGTGGCGCCAACCTAGCATACCGCGAAACAACGCTTCGCATTCAAAAGTTCCTACCAGCTCACCCCGCACGGGACCTGTTGATGGACTAGTACGCGAGTACTTGCATCGCAAACAAATCGATTGCAGACGGGCCGTTTCCAAGTAATAGAAAAAGGTTTTTGCGAAAGGCTGAGGGAAAGGGAAGAGCAAAAAAGTCAGAGGAGCGGAAGGACAGAACGACAATTAAGGCGTAGAGCATGCCCAGTCGAACCATTTCCGATTGTGTAGTGTCGGACAAAAAACGAAACTCGCATACCACCGGCATGACCGACACCACCACGGTCGTTGCCAAGTCGTGCAGTCAGTCTTTAAGAGAAATGGAAAACGCACCGAACGTTCTTCAAGCGCGTTACGAGCACGCACCGTGGCGCAGTGAAGGATTATGACTTGTCTGAGGCGTACTGGCTGGCGACGGTGTTTCCTGATGCAATGGCAGAACGCTTGCGCGGACGACAAAGTCGACATTCCTTATGCGTTAAATCTTTTCTGTCGAGAGATTGAGCGCCGCAGCGCGAATGGAAGGAGCGCTACGATAGCAAGCTTGGGGCCCAGTGCCAGTGACCTGCGTTGGTTGGCGATTTTACGCGCCGGTTCGTCGTCAGGTCGATCTTCGTAGATTACCAGTAAGACAGGATTATAGTGTTAGCTGGTGGAATGCGAGGCGAGTGCAATAGTATTAAGCCGATGTGTACTGAATCCAATCCGCAAATGAGTACGAGATGCAACAGTGTCTGTAGAGGTGTATGCTTTCTTCAATGCTCCAAAGGGCAAACGGAGCAACGCGTCTTCCTGTGAATCGATGTCTATCAACACTAATTTATGTGTTGAGGTTGATGCCCCGCGTACGATGTCATTGGCTAAAATACCCATGTTCGTTTGGCGTATGATTGGCCAAAAAGGCAAATTGGCCTACAGCCGAAACAGAAGATATTCGGCCAAGTCGCTGGTCGCGCCATGGACCACCACCGCTCCGTAAGCCTCGAGGAAGACTCGTGGACGTCCGTCGAGACGCATGAAGCCGCCCATGAGGTAGACACACATGTATCTGCTACGGTGCATGCACGTGCGCAGGTGATCCCGCCATCGACCCTCGCCCTCGATGCCAAGGACATGTACTACGGAGAGATGATCCAGGCCAAGGCGCCGGTCGTGTACGTCTCGCCGCAGCGCATGCTGCAACGAGGCTTTCTGTGCTTGACGACGTACCGTCTTCTCTTCGTACCCCATCCAGTGCGCACGTATGGCCTCGCGCAGCGTCCTCAACGTGTGTGTTAGAAATCGATGCCGCAATCGACGCTCGTGGACGTCCCTCTCTGCAACATTGCCGAGATCCTCTTGCAGGACGAGCGCGCCAACATGAGCACGATCAGCAGCGTGGGCTATTCGCTCGGCATCAACGAGTACCCCAAGGACCTGGACACGATCAAGCACCACCTCGAAATCGCTTGCAAAAACTTTTGCATCGTGCGCTTCGAAGTCGCTTCGACCTTTGGCCTTAGGTTTTTTTCCTTTCTCTGGTTGGACGTGTCCAACGCCGTTGCTTTTGTAGCTCGTTTTACAACCGGCTTTTGGACGCGCTCGACAGTGTGCACCAAATCGCACCGCTTGCGTTCGCGTGCGCCGATACCGACCGTCACGACGACGCCGTCGACATGGAAGCGCTCATCGAGCGGGACATGGTGCGCCAGGGTATCGTGGTGCCTGGCGCGCAGGATGGTGGCGCCTTCCGACTCTCTCGCATCAACCAAGCGTTTCGTGTATGTCCGACGTACCCGACGCTGCTTGCCGTGCCCCGGGCCATTGGTGACGCCGAGCTTCAAGCGATCGGTCACTTTCGAGCCAAAGGCCGCGTGCCCGTCATTACATACCGGCACACGGAATCAGACGCGATCCTCGCGCGCTGCGCGCAACCGCTCGTGGGGCTCCGTCGGCGGCGCTGCAACCACGACGAGCGCTACATGCGCATCTTGCAAGAGCAAGCGCATGGCCGCTTGTACATTATCGACTGCCGACACCAGGTACTCGCCACATGCTTCTCTGCCCATCATGGAACGCGTCATGGATGTAGACAAGCGCGTACGGCAACGTCGCACTCGGCGCCGGCTTTGAAATGTACGTTTCCACCGCATTGAGAGAATTGTCCACCAGGGCTCTGCGTAGAGCTGAGTTTTACAACAACGTGCCGCTGCTCTTTATGAACATCGAAAACATTCACTCGATGCGCGACTCGATCCGCCGGCTCTTTGAGCTCGTCAAGGGCGAAGTCCGCGGCTCGGAGCGCGCCAATTGGCTCTCGTCCCTCGAGGTACATGTTTGAGCTTGGCTTCCGACGCAAAATGCTGCGTAGAGCACGCGTTGGCTCGAGCACGTTCGATCCGTCTTGGTGGCGGCGGCCATGGGCGTCGAGAAGCTCGTCGACGAGCGTGCGTCACTCGTCGTGCACTGCAGCGACGGCTGGGATCGCACGGCGCAGATCATGTCGCTCATCAAACTTGCGTGCGACCCGTACTACCGGACGCTCGAAGGATTTGCTCTCCTCGTCCAGCACGAGTGGGTTGCGTTTGGACACCGCTTCGAGTCGCGTTGTGGTCTCAAGCCGTCGAGCCAGGCAAAGAAACCCGTCGGGTACTACTGGGACGACGAGCAGACGTCGCCCGTCTTTGTGCAATTCATCGACGCGGTGTGGCAAATGACGCAGCAAGCGCCGTGCTCGTTTGAGTTCAACGAGCGGTGCGTTTGTCGCGACGCAATTAGACGATATCATTTTGCAACGTTAGGTATCTCATGGCGATTGTCGACGAAGTGTACGCGCGGCGCACGGGCACATTCCTCTTTGACTGCGACGAGCAGCGCATGGTGCGAAAAATCGGTGCTTATGAACGACCACTCGAAAGTGCCTCGTAGAAGGCGCGTGTGGCCGCGCGGTGCCCTTCATTGTGGCATCGCCTCGAGCAAGTCGCTGCGGCGTCCGGGGACTTTCGTAATCCGTTCTACATGCCGCCGCAGAAAGACGTCGTCAACACCAAGTCGCCCGCCGTCCTGCGGCTCAAGTGGCACCTAAGCACACTGTCCATTTGGTCGCTCTTTTACCTTCGGTCGCTCGAACACGTAGACCCATCAATGACCGACCAGGTTTGTGACCGACCAGGTTTGTGGCCATCATCATCATCATCGCACCTGATGACACTGTCTAGACGGCGTGGGCCAAGGACGTTGCGGAGCATAAAGTCGCGCTCCAAGTCCAGCTCTCGGATACTACACTCGAGCTGCAGCGTCAAATGGAGCTTAACTCGGCGCTCCTCTCCAAGGTCTCGATGCTCGAGTCCAAGACGCACGAATTGCACGCAGTGCTCCAGGGCCAAGTTTTTAGCGACCACGGTGTGGTGGTTCACGAAGAGGTGTTGTCGCGCTCGAAACGGTCGATCGGCGCCGACGGCGATGATGACGATGACGACGAAGGTGTACTCTTGAGTGTGACGCAGACACCCATGGAGAATGATGGGCCCAAGAAAGTTCGGAGCGAATTCATTGGCGGTGCGATGACAAGTCCGTTTGAGATTTTGACATCGTATTTCCACGCATCGTCGTCGTCAACCTAACACTGTAGCAAGTCTCGCAATACAGCCCCTGTCTATGGTGATCTGATGACGGAGCAAGCCTCCGACGCAGTGGGCTCGAGCCCAGTGGTCAACGTCGTACTTGAACGGAAGCCAGAGCTGGGATTCGTATTGCACCACAAGTAGCAAAGACGAAGAGATGGGATATACTCGTAGATCGTGACGATACTTGTACGCTAGCAATGTGAGCCAAGCGGCAAAATCTCAAAAGTTGGAAAGGACGGACGACATGTGCAGTCAAGCCCTGTTCGACATTGTTGACAAACCAGCGTCCATCCGACCAGAACTTGCTTTGGGTCACAACCTGTTGTCCGAGGAGCCGCGATGGGTTCTGACTACGAGCGTCTTTCTTGGAGCCGCGCTGTGAGGACATGCAGACGCCATCTCACTTTTCGATTCGCGACGCCCGAACAACATGAAGACGACAATCTTGATGGCGGCACTCTGTGCCTTCGCGACGGCTGACGTGGCTCCAGTGGCTGGTGGTGTGCCGGCTCTCAAGGGTGCCGGGACGGGCGAGAAGGCGAAGCAGCAAGAGTGGTTTGGTATTTCTCGCTTTGGCGTCGGTTTTCCCTTCTACGGTGGCTTTGGCTGTGGCGGCGGTTGTGGCTGTGGCGGCTGCGGCGGCTGGGGCTGGTAGAGAGTGCTTTTGATTGCGCGCTCCTGGCGATGATCGTTGATGAGAATCAAAACACGTTTTCTGTGCAGTGTGTTGTATTGCCGCATTAAACGAATGGGATATGGTCAGTCGCTACCACTAGCTGTAGTGTCTTATACTCGAGTACCCGATAAGTATTTGGGAATGATTTCCCACTGCTATTGGTGATAGGGTAAGAAAGACCTGGCGAGTAAAATGTTTGTGACAAAAAGATTGCGCCGCCGGGGAATTGAACCCCGACCCCATCTTTGGAAGAGATGGATCCTAACCATTAGACCAACGGCGCTTCTTGTTTATGTCACATGGTACAAATATATTTATACCCACAAGGTACCGATGGAAACGGAGAACATAGTTGCTGTCCATGGATACCTGGACAATACCTCTCGTCATGCGCACGCACCGAGAATATTTTTGAATGAAGTGAAAAAACGGGTGTAGCACCACGTCAACTATGTCAGCGCGATATGTGGTAAGAATACAATAATTCATACTGCATCACACTAGCAAGGACGTAGATTCACGGGTATTGATGCCCTTCTCGGTCGGTATCCGGATTTATTCGGATGCGGGCTCGGACAGTTTCGTTTGAAACACACCCGACGGCTTGCACTCCTCTGTCGGGTGGTCCGAGTACAGGAGCCTGCGTACGACCTCGAGCGAGCTAACCCTCGGCGAGTGGGGTCCACCACGGGATGGATCTCTCCGTGCGCAGCTCACTCCCAACGACCAAGTGCTGGTGCCAACTCCCACGCATTCAGGCGTAGCACTACGTATGCGAAGTCTTTGAGTTAGTTTTTGCTAATTTGATTTCAACGCGAACACGTTTGATTGATTGATTGATTGATGCCCTTGGT